ATGGCTGGGGGCGACTGCTGCGTGAGGACTATCTGCCACCTGTGAGCGCTTTGACATGGGCGAGGTGCCCATGGCAGCACCCGCTGCTTGTTGAGTGTAAGAGCGATCCGTGCTTTCACGTCAAAAAGTCATCATAAACTTCCATTAACACCAGAAAAAGTCACCAGATTTGTCGCTAGTCCCTTTTTAGAAAAACAGTCGCTAAGGGGGTCTGAAAACTCAAAGTCGCTAAGTTGGCAACACTGCTGACAACCACTGGTTAGCGGTTGCTGGAGGTTGCAAAAAGCTATACAGTGTTTCACTGAAATCGTCCTTGCAGTTGCTTTGTCGTTAGCAGATTGCTGCAGTTGCCTGTAGTTTGCATGGAATAAGTGAATATAGTTGCAGACTGGTCTGCAAACATTTGGCAACTACTCGTGGTAATGAAACTGAGAAAAGTGCGATCCAAACTGGAGACGGAAAATGTTGAGTAAAAACTTTTCCGTCTTTTGAAACGTGTTGGTTTCAGCTGTAAATGTGAACATTCTCTGTTTCTGTGATGTCACTACTCGTGACACTATTGCTGGTTAGCAAATATTTGCAGACATGTTACAATCTTCAATGCAAACTACAATGGTTATCTGCTACCAACCACAGCAGTCACAGGACGGTTCTCGGTGCCTGACCCTCTTTGCGACAGACTACACACTAGATTATTGATTGTTTATTTCTTTATTTGTCTTTGTTAGCTTCATTTTGTTATTTTTGTTTGTATTTTGTTTACATGACTGCGGGTCTGTGGTTGTTTCACATGGGGGGAAAAACGAGGGAGTGTTTCTCAACTAGTTGGGGGTATAAAAGCTGTTCTTCTCACCCTACAGTACTGTATGTTTCTCTGTCTGTCCTCACACAGCTGGGCCCACACTGCTCTGGATGGATGAGGGGGTTGAGGGGCTGAGAGCGAGATGGGGTGGGGGGGTTGAGTTACATTCCTTCCATCGGGGCTGTGCGTCTGCCAACCAGGTCACTCCCAGTTCAGTCCCGGGAAATTGGGAGGGAAGAATTTCCTCTGTGCTGTCCATGCTGGACACGAGCACAGCCGCACAGAGGCCTGTATGCACTGGGGGCACGTGTGTGCATGCATGTGTAATGTTTGAAACTGAGCACCTGGTATAATATAACTTGCATGTTATTTTCTTACCACGCAGGACACATGCACACATATGTGGTGTGTAAGTGCGGACATGTTTGGAAAGTATCAGATTGTGTAGGCACGTGTGTACTCTCCTTCAACTATAGCGCCATATTTTTCACAATAAGTTCTGCGTTGATCGGCTTGATGACCTCCCACGACCTCCGTTTTGACACAAGCTCAAACAAGTTGTTGTATATTTATTGTTTTTTCCTACTAGGAATCCCTGCATCTCACCTCCTGTTCCCCACTTTCACACGATGCACAACAACACACAGATGAGAGATACTCCCAACAGATTCCAAGTCGTCTGGCACAAGCTGCAGCCCAATAATAGAAAGATGGAAAGATAAACTTACGGGAACAGAAAAGGGGATGAAGTTTATTCTTTGCTTGCTATTGGTTTGTGCTGCGTTAAGCCCGTGTTGTAACAGGCCAGCAGGGACAGCGGTGTTCAATATTGCATTTGCTGTGACATGAAAAAGGCATGAATCACGTTAACGTGCGCAAACAAAAAGCGACATGTTTGCAGATAAAACGCTACGCACAGGCCTCCAAAGTGTTCACAAGCCATTTCACACACATGCTCCCAGTTACACATCATCTGCAATTTGTCAAGACTGTCACCTTCTAGTGAATCATCCTCGCCTATTATTCCAATCCACTGCTTTTGTGGACTTTTCAGGATATCTGCAGTTTGGGTTTGAACTTAAGCTCAAGAATAATGAAGCTTTTTAAAAAAGAATTTTTAGCCCACCATCACAGTTTGAGACTGTATATAAAGGACGGACCTGAAAAGTAAAGCCAGGCTAGACGGGCCTTAAACCTGCATTCTTTTAATGGTCAGCAGGGGGCGACTTTTCTATAAATCTGTGCCGTAGTTATTACTTGATGTATGATCTCAGTAAATATTTTGCAAATAGTGTTATGGTCTCAATTGCCAGATTTCCAAACACAAAATGTCATTTGTGTGGTAAATTCTGCACTCATAGGAAAATGGCCAGTAAAGCAGCGAGTGACTGAAGCCGACTGAAGTGACGTTGTGTCTCTGATGTGTTTCTCAGTCAGAGCCAAAGTCCACTCATTCAGTATTCTGCTTTGCTAAAACAGACTCCAAAGAATTGCCGTTTCAGTTTTTGTTGGGTTTTCTAAGCCTGTTTTTCAGACGACAAAACAGAAATACCAGATTGAATTAGAAAGGAAACCTTGACACCCTTGGAGTGCTCAGAGTAGAAAAGTGCTATGTAAGTATCACTTAGTTATTTCAGCTGCTGCCTGCAGAGTGCCCGGATAAACTCACTAGCTGTTTAACACTAAACATAAAGTAACAGATCCCAGAGGATGACAGTCAATATTAGACAACAACAAAATATCCAAGTGAACTGTACACAGAGAGAATATGTTGTGTCTGGAGCTTGTTCATTAAACCCCAGGTTACCACAAATGAAATTAACAATCAGCCAATGTTACATTAAAGCAAGGTAAGCTATTTAATAAAACAGTTAGTGGAAGATCAGCACAAAGCTGCACAAGAAATACATTTTTTCACAGGCAGTTCTTCTGAAGGAACTTTAGTGTCATCATCTGATTCTTTAAAGCAGTGCTTGTGTTCATGTAAGTGGTCGGTGTTATCATTGTTCACGTAAAACCTGCGTTAGCTGTTTCACATTTTTGGCCTCAGGATAAACAAGCCGTGAGCACAAAATTAACAGCTTTAACTGGATATGTGGAACCTGTCAGCAGAAGCTGGCTTATTTCCACATCCAGCCTTTGGTTCCACTTCTGGTTAAAAGTTATTTTTAGTGGCTTAAATGAAGTTTGCGAAGCTCCGCATCTGGGACGAAGAAGAAGACGTATGATAACTTCCCCCTTTCTCTGAAATATGGCTTGGAGTTTGTGATATGGATGCTCTGTGCATTAAACCTCCCAGGAGTTTATTTTTCTCCATTGTCTTTAAACAAAAAAAGAGAAGAAGAAGATGGATTTTAAGAACGTTTTCCACATTTCAAGGAATTATATTTATTAAGAAGATAAAAGGAAGTGCAACTGCAAGTAAAACACACAGACAGGCTCGGGGGGGTTTCTGGAGGGGTTTGTGGCTGGGTTGTCTGGAACAGGAAACGTGAGCTCTGAAGAGGCTTGGCACATGTGCATGCACAAATACACACACACACATAATGCAGGCAGGATGGAAGCTCTTCCTGGACACACAGGATTTGGCCCTGGCAGATGGCATGTCACAAGGAATCAAATTATATGTTAATACGCTGAGAACCCAGAACAAGGCGAGGGACTTTCTCAAGGAAAAGTTGGTTCAGACGATCATGCAGGCCTTGCTTATACAGTGAGCCATTCAATCACTCTACGTTGTCTGTTAGACTTTCCTGGCAGGGATCCTGGTCCCAGGCAGGACTACGATCTGCTGGATCACACACGTGTAGAGTCCAGCATTTGAACTTTTGATTTATTGGTTCTTGGGAATTGCACGTATGGCTCAGGCCAAATGGCATCTTATAATATTACACAAGGAGAGGGCCTGCTTAGAATGTACTCCTAATGTAAACGTGTAGTCTAATAGGGCCTCTTGCATAAGCTACTTAACAGTGGATATGTATATACGGAGCACATGTACAAACAAATAGCATTGTTCAACAAATATAGCGCGTGATGAATGGCCGTCTCGCGCTGATAAAAAGCCAGCTGCTGCTCTCCAACTATGTGAGCTGTCTTCTTGCTGCCCTGTCATGACTCAGTGCTGAGTGGGACATTAGTGGGTCTCTTCCTGGTATCAGGGCCATTCCTCTACACTGGGCCTGGACTCAGTTTAGCATCATGGGAATTTCTGAGAGCAGCTGAGGGTCCCGGGAGGTTACGCTGGAGTTCAGCTGAGTTAATCCAGCTGACGGGGTGCTCTTTCAGTCGGGAGACAGTGAAACGAAGGCTGGAGGTGACCACGGAGGGGTTGGGTTTATGGAGGATCCCCAGTCCCCCACCCCCCTACAGGCACCACATAAATCCATATGAAAAAATTATAATTCATGTTCAATCTTTGCCTCAACCTGACAGAACAGTGCCACCTGGTGGTCACATAGAGCAAAGAATATCCTCTTTAGCCCACATGTTCAAGTTTTTATTCCACATGTTCAACTTTCACTCAGTATATTTATTTCATATAGCTTTAACATTTTTTTTTACATATACACTTTTCTATATTTTCAGCTTTTATTAGATTTTTTTTTGCATATATTCAAGTTTTTATTCCACATGTTCATCTTTCATTCAACATATTTGAAGTTTGGATTTTACATTACTTCCCAGATTTGGATGTATATATTCATCTTTCACATATTTTCAGTTTTCTTCCCATAAGGGGAAGAAAACTGAAAATTTTTGTAATTTTTGTATATATACAGGGTTTTTTGTATATATTGATATTTCATTCCAAATATTAAACTTTCATTCTGTATATTAAAGGTTTTTAATTTTATATGTTCAACTTTTTTGCTAAAGACTTAATGTCTTGTCATGTAGTCAAGTTGTTATTCTAAATACTCAACTTTCATCCCATATATTCATGTTCTTTTGCATATGTTGACAATTTTATCCATATATTCAAGTTTTTATTTTATATCCTCTCTACATATGATACATTTCTTGCCGCTTTCTACTGAAATGTGCATTCTTTACATTCAACTTTCTTTGCATATATTCAAGTCTTTGCAATGGTGCACTGCAAAACTGTAGATGAGCATGAAGCTACTAGAACACAACCGTTGGTTTCTGTGCTGGACCAGCAGAAACATACGGTGCCTTTCACTCAACCGGCCCACCAACACAGGTGAAGGTAAAACAGATGGGTGGGACATGTGACTTTAAGTTTAGCTGCGTCTGTGTGAGGGGGGATCAGAAGTGAAGTGATGGCCCAGATGAAGGTAGTGGGAGAGAGTGTGAGGATCCACCAGGACAGCACGGATCTTTACTCCGACATGACTACAGTCAGCTCCAGTGCAGGTGAGTCAAACAACATCCTAATGACCCCGTTCTTGTGTTCTTCCACAGCATCTACATTAAATTAGTTCTAATTTTATTGACACACGAGTCGCACATTGTATATTGTCAGCTTTGTTATAAAGAGTTAGCAAAACCACTTTATGTAAAGAAGTGGTGTTATGTTAATTCCCTTTATTATACTGTCATCCTGCTGATTTGGTTTACTTTGCAACCTTTGGATCACCTTCTTAGCTTTTAAGGCAGTATTTTCTATGTTTACCATTGATAGATTATTTAATCAGCTGCGATGCTTTGTTGTTCTCGTACTCTTTAATAAACAGAGTATAGTAGTGTTGGAAAGTGATGAACACACGATATAAAAGTTTAAAGCTTTAGAAAAATAAACTGTTATATAAAACCTCCCTACTTTCAGCTTCTCTGATTTTCACAGCGGGGCAGCTCCGCATGTTTGATTTGGCAGATTTTTTCCCCCCGCTGGTTGCCCTTCCTGACACAATCCCCCCCCGCAAGTTACCAAGTTTGCTCATGTAATCATAATAATTGCCTCTGCCATTCGACATCCAGCTGTTTTATAATGTCATATGATACCAGCAGACCAAGTCGACTCATTTTAAGGAGATGAGTCCCTTTGCTGGTGATTGTGGTAATAATCTTGGACAAATCCTCCAGTTTCTGGTGTCTGTTTCTCACGAGCTTGTGTTTGCCAGCTAAAGCTCTCTGGCTCTCAGGTTGCCTGATGCCAGTGGGAACCAGAAAGTCGGGTAATCCCTCCTTTTTTTGAGACAGTCATTGGTGAATTGCTGCTTTTTCAGTTAAGGCCGCATTTCTTGTGTCATGTTGAGGAAGTGAAGAAATAAGACCTGGGAAATTTTTCCCTAAAAAACAAAAAAACAAAAAAAAAGGATCCACACAACCCCTTCCCCTTTTCTTTTCTCGCCCCTGAAAACAGATATAGGAGAGTCGGTGAGGAAGGGGACATTGTGCGAGACCTCTGTGGCTGTAGGATTCAATAGACGGAGCAGAGCATACCCCTCCCCAGCCAGAAGACGCCACCGCACCACCTTCAGCCACAAACAGCTGGAGCAGCTGGAAGTGGCGTTTGGACAAAATCAGTATCCTGACATCTACTACAGAGAGGAGCTGGCTCGAATCACTAAACTCAATGAGGCTCGCATACAGGTGGGATGGTCTTCATGTTAGAGCTCTCTGACAACTGTGGCTTTTTAGGAGTTGGGGTGTGCAACTCTAAAAAAAAAAGAAACAGGGCGGGGTGTTTTAGGCACAAATGCTCAAAACTGCTAATAAAACAGTTCAACAAAAGAGCTGGTCTACATCTGCAAGCCACTTTGCAACCCACCTCTAGTTCAGCTCTTTTTGTTCATTCTGTATCTCACTAAATCAGTAACAAATCACTGATACCTTTTGCTTTGGGAGGACCTGGGACAGTTACAAATATAAGGGACCCTGACCTCTGTGGCGTATCATTGTTGGATGAATGCTTCAGATTTTTGTCCCAAAGTTGTGTTGCAGGAATGCTGCGTGCAACAGTCTGATCAATGATCCTGATTTGGTTCAGTCTAATTCAGTGGTGGCCCTATTTGTTGCTGAACCCACCATGCTTTGTATGTAAAAGCCTCGACTAACCCATCCTTGTCTCAGCAGGTGTGGTTTCAGAACAGGAGAGCCAAACAGCGTAAGCAGGAGAGGGCCTCGCAGAAGGTTCTCCCAGTGGGAGTGATGCCAGGCCACAGGGCGCTTCTGGGAGGCGTGCACATCCAGCCGTCCGGCATGTCTCGGCAGTACTACCCCCAGCCCCTGCCCCACATCCCTCGCCTCTCTTCCATGTTGCCCTCAGGGGCATACACCCGCCACCCGGGGCCAGGTAGCCAGTGCCCATGTCCCGGCGCTTCCACTCAGCCAACCTCCCAGCGGCAGCATGATGACTGGTACGGCTCGCTGAGGAGCAACCTCACCTCGCCCATGTTCTCGCTCACCTCCATGCCTCCTCTGGATCCCACCTCTCACTGGAGCTAAGAAGCACCAGATGTTTCCACACAGAATACTAAGAAGCCTCTTTTTCATCTTCACAGTTACACACATCCTGTTTGCTCTCTCACTGCTGAATTTTCCAGCTAGTCTGTAAAATAAAATGTATCTTCTTAGCCACACCCGAGCTTCCCCAGTCCCTTGGCTGGAAACGACTGATGTCTACTGGATTTATAGAAATGCAATAAAAGGTTCTTTGAACATTAAGGATACTTTTTTTTTTACTTTGCAAAAAAAGGTTAGCTCAAGGAGCACACACTAGAATTTGTTTTTAATTTTATAAACCTTTCAGCTTCATGTCATGGCTTTCATAGTTCCCTAATACACCTACAGGTAACATTACTACAACCTAAAGTTGGGATGTTAAATGAAATGTAAATAGAAACAGAATGCAATGATTTTCAAATCCCTGTTTGAATTTGACAAATTCAGGTAATCTGGCTTCTTCCCAGTTTAAATACACACAGTTAGTGGGGTTAGGTGATTCTAAATTACCCATAGGTGTAAATGGTTGTCTGTTTCGGTGTTAGCCTTGTGATAGACTGGCGATTTGTCCTGCTTCTCTCCCTGTGACAGCTGGGATAAGTGGAAGAGGATGGATGGAGTTTAAAACTATGGTGAATGCAACAATGATGGTTCATGAGATTTGCAAATCACTGCATTCTGTTTTTCCATGTGTCCCTGTTGCAACACACATGAATACAATTCATTAGCAAGACACTATAGAACTTGCCTGCATGCTTAGGTGCCAGTTCAGCCATTTGATTCATGTTACAGCAGCTCATGAGTGAATGAACATGGTGCAATAAAAGTACTTTTAGAAGTACATTTTTCCAAACACTTACATTTACTTCATTTTACTTAAGTAGAGTTAGTGGTTGCCACTTCAGCATGCAGTCAAGTTCTATACTCTTGCTAATGACTTACTAATTTTATTCAGGTGTTGCAACAGGGACACATGGAAAAGTTGCAGGACACCGGCCCTCGAGGACTGGAGTTTGAGACCCCTGTGAGAATATCTCATTGGCATAATGCTTTCCCTAGCCCAGGGGTGGGCAACTTCAGGCCTCGAGGGCCGGTGTCCTGCAGGTTTTAGATGTGTCCTTGATCCAACACAGCTGATTCAAATGGCTAAATTACCCCCATAACATGTCTTGTAGTTCTCCAGAGGCCTGGTCACAAACTAGTCATGTGTTTCAGGTGTGCTGACCCAGGGTGAGATCTAAAACCTGCAGGACACCGGCCCTCGAGGCCTGGAGTTGCCCACCCCTGCCCCAGCCGCTTACCCCAACCATCAAAAATGAATGCCTAACCCTAACCCTCAGCCTAAACCTAACCATAACCTAACTTTAACACTAAAACCACATTTTGAGCCTGAAAAATGTTTTCGAACTCATGTGGATGGGCACTTTGTCCCCACAAGTATAGTAGCATGCCAATTTTCTGTCCTCACAAAGATGTCTAAACATGTGTGTGTGTACACACACACAGACACGCACGCACAAATCCTTAATAGCCTCGCTGCCCCTGCAGCTTTGACATGAAATGTAATATTTATTTAGGATATGAAGACGTACTTGTTGTCCCCTTAAAGGAGGTGGAGTTCCCGCAGTATGTCTATATAAATAGTTTTATGTCCTGATATAATTATAATTATGTCCTACATAGAAACTGTGGACATACCTTCTGGATCTGATAATTGAAGCCAATGCACAACACTTTCAAGCTGCATTCTTTCTAGTGGTCAGCAGAGGGCGATCCTTCTATCGTATCTTCTTTTTCCAAACGTGACCAACAACAAATAACACAGACAGCACTACATGAAAAAGGTATGCAGAATACAGTCTTCTTTTAATATTTCACATTACAGAGACAACACAGTCGCATCTGTTATGCTTTTTAAATATTTGCACTCAGAAAAACCTGAGTTGACTGAAGAGTTAATACTAGATGGCAAAAATATAGAGAAGTCATCAACGTGTGGCAAAAAAATAAAACTACTTCAGAAGAAATCACAGATGAATTGAACAGACCTAACCTGACATATTATACTCACGTCTGTTTTAAAGGCAGCTAAAGTCTGAAGCAAATGTGTTGTGTTCAAGTCCTTTCCTGAAGGCCCGTAAAACAGAGTCCGCTTTAAAAACTAACGGCAGTGTGCGTTTAGTCTAGCTTATCCAGTGATGAAGAATCTGCAACACGCCGCTGCTTTACATTCACTCTGCGAGGACAGGTGTGCGTCGAGCTCCTGCTGACTCTGCGATTATCACGCCGGCTCATTTTTTTTGTCGTTTTAATCGGGAAGGTGTCACAACTGAAACACAGACAGTATTTCTGCTACTGTAACCTGCAGCCTCGGGCTTCACATCAAACATACGGACTGTGATCAAGTCAAGGTCACTTTCTGTTGTCATGGGAACCGTCCTCACACAAACAGCAAATTAAACAGATTGACAGGAGGAACCATTTGGCCCGCTGTGTTCAGCATGAGTGTGCTTGTAAATGAGTGTGTCCGTCTGAAGCAGAACTACTTCACATAAAGGGGACCCATCATGTCATATAAATACACTTTTACAGTGTTGGATGTTCTTGGCTGTATATTAAAGTAAAGCTCAGGTTTCAGATTGATCTAAACGCTCCACTTACCTTTTTTTATTTTCAGTATGATGTCGATGAGAACAGATATCCTTAATGTGGTTGTGCAGTGGCCAATCAAAGATCAATAAGGCATATTCTGAACTCTGAATAACACAAAGCTACTCTCGAAAGTCCCAGAATAAAAATATAGAACTGGAAATGAGTAGAACAGGTCCCCTTTAATGTGAGGACACTCTATTTACAGACTGTTGTGCTGCCAGAGAGAATCAAAGTGTAGCACCACTAAAAGAAAACACTCTACCCAAGCTTTTGTACATGTCAAGGATCAGTTCACCCAAAATCAAAGGCAGCTTTGCTTAGAATACAGTATTTAGAATATAGTGAAGTCCAAGCTTCACTGTGGAAACCGGAAGTTACAGGCGGTTAACCAGGCCTCAGTTAACCACCTGCTTGTTGTACCTTAATCACTTCCTGTTCCTTTGTTTTTTTAATCCACACACTCGGAGTACTGCTCCTCCAGTCGTTCAGGGCTTGTGTGTGAATGAGGCCGCCTTAAAACTCCCCACCTGCACATATGCAGCTCCAAAAAACAGGGGATTCAGATCTGAAAGTATACTGCTAAGGATTAACTAGAAAAATACCAATTTAGGTGAACTGGCCCTTTGAAATGGCATCTACACACACACACACACACAAAAAAGGTCCTAATGAAGTGGAAGACTCCACCAGACTGAAACAAAGGGCATCCTGTGTTCCACCCTTTTTGTCATTTATCAGATTACTGCTGATTCAGCTTGGAAAAATCATCCGTCAGAAGTTTCACGAACGATCGATACTCCTGACCGATAATCTGTAAGAAAGAAATCAAAGACGGTCCTCTAAAAAGTTGTGCGGCTTCTCAGTTTTGGCTGCAGGTACGCTCACCCTCCAGCCTCTCTGCTGATTCCTCGCTGTCGTCGTGGACGGGAAGCAACAGAAAGACGCTCTACTCCAGCGATTTGGCGAACTCTGCGTAATCTATGTAGCCGTCATTGTTTTTGTCATCGTCCTTCAGAACCTCATCGATGAGAGCAATGAGTTCCTCCTCTTTCATTGGCTGGCTGCTCTCTCCTCTCTCCTAAACAGAGACGAGCAGAGCAGCGAAAACGATTGGACCTTTCTGTGCGCAGGAATCGTGAGGCGAAAAATGTGTCACAACAATATTTTTAATCACAGCCACAGAAATAAAGGAGCAGAAAACGTGTCAGCTAACAAAACTGTTTTTTAATCGCTTTGGTGTCACGTTGCATGAATTCTTTGTTTCCTAAGGGGTGATGGATCCGCATTGTCACCGATTTTGTCCCACACACACTTCCTGACACCTTCCTGAACATTTAAAAAGTTAGCGGGATAACAAAGATGAGGCTCAAAACCTACCAGCTAATTAAAGCTAGTAACGGGCTTAATGGGAGACAGTGTCAATAAAAGATTCAGAGAAGTCTCGGTGCACAAGGGACAAGGCCAAAAATCTGTACTGATTAGCTGTGACCTTTGTGTGTATTGCAACTTGGTGGCAAGTTGTGCCTTTGGTGAGAATACCTTATTTGTGCAAGACAATTCCTAACACACTGTGCAAATATTCCAACAGCATGACTCCCATATAAAGAAGTCCTGGAGCTTAAAGACCGCCTGCAGTACTGACCTGTCACCCACTGAAACATCTGGTGCGTTATGAAACAAATTTTAAAAATATTATGATGAGAAGAGACCCTGAACTGCAGACATGCTGATATTCTATATAAAAGAAAAAAAACACTAGAGCAAAGCTAACATTTACAGAGTGCTGCTAAAAGATAGGTAAACATGCCCCTGTCCCAACTTTCTGAAACACAAAGCATTTAAATGTCTCAGTCCCATCCCACAATAAGAAGGGTATGAGGAAGTGGGAAAGTAACCGTTATGTATCCTTTTAATGCCAACTATGACAAAAAAAACGTGCTCACACATGAATTCTCACCTCTCTGTGTACATGTGAGATTGCTGTTGCAAGCTCCAGCCCGTCCAGCAGGTTGTTCCCATCGTAATCGTGCATTTTGAAATAGTGCAGCTGGAGCTCCTGGGGCGTCATGTCTTTCTCTGGTTTGTCTATGACGCCCTCTAAATGCTCCATGATGTGGCTGCCACCAGAGGAACAACAAACAAACACAGCTACTGATTAGACAGAACCCAAAGTTCACCTCGTCCTGAGTCGTGCACGGCCATGCCACTCACTCTTTGTCTTGAACCATGTTTCTATCCAGGCGATGTTGGCTGGCTGCACTTTCTACGATCTGCTGCTGATGGTGGTGGTCTGGGTTCATCTGAGCGTGAGCGCACAGAAAACAGCAGGACAAAAAGAGGAGCATACCCCCCCACTGCACACTACACCTGCTGCTCCTCATTCTGCTGCGGAAAGGCAAAGACTGAGAGTCAGCAAGTTCAGGAACACAGCTCCTGAATATCTATGTTGGACATCACCTTCTTACTACTCAAATGTCCTCAGTTTAGCACCTCACTTACATCCAGCAACACATTTGAATGTCCTTCTTACCGATTAACATGTTTCTCCTGATCAAACTACATTCACACCTGTTTTATAAGTTTGATATCTGGCTCTATAAGACAACAGCAAGGTGCTACAAATAAGCACCATGTGTTTATGGCCCATTTTAACAAAAAACACCACAGACACACACAGTGCATGGACCGCACTAATAGGGATGTTTCTGCAGTAAACTGTGAGATTACACTGCTATGCTAACTCAGTTAAACAGCCACATTAAAAGAGGGATGTATGACCGTTAGCTTGAGAGCCATTATAAGATAAATACAGCAACAAGCTGCATCTCAGGGCTACGCTGAAATAACATAATTTCATGGGTCATGACTTGGTGTAACTGGTAAAGAAATAAAAAAGATGTATATGTACTTACGTTTAAATAATTTCTATCTTCACCTGTATCCGCGAACAGTTGTGCGTAGTTTGCTGCTTTAATGATCAATCCGAGCTTTCTCGGACTGAGCGGCTTTCCGTAGCTTCACTTTGACACGACAGCTCATTGTGATTGGCTGCAGCTATCCGAGAGCGCTCAACTGGGGCAAGATGATTCCCTCCACGTTATTCTGAATTCTTCGTCTTTCTCTGTCTAAAGCTAAAATTAGTTTTATTATTTTGTTGTGGGTTACAGTAAGATTCGTGTACAATTGCTATACATTAATAAGCTCAAACTAAACCTTGTAGAATATTCCGTATAGAATAATTTTATATATTTCTAGTGCTTTCCGTTTTCACGAACTAGCGTTTTGATCATTTGACAGAATTTACGAATTCATGCGACAGACATGCTGTTGAATCACCTTTAGCGGTAATAACTTGAAGGTTTTTTGTAAACTTTTAGTTTTTGTATGACTTTACAAGCCTCTCTCGTCATCGTGGAGGAATTTTGACCCCAAAAAGTTGATTCTGTTCATCTGGACGTAGCGTTTTCAGTGGGAGATACGTTTCGTCACTCATCCAAGTGACTTCTTCAGTCTCAGCTGACTGCAGGTTTCCCCAATCTTATATTTGCACAATGACTAAAACCAGACCACTGAATGAACGAAGAGCTGTGAGGTCAGTTCCAACCTTTTGGGATTTACCTGGATGATTGAACATGCATCAAGAATTTGGTTCATTGGTCTTTGGTTGCATTCGTTTATGCACAGCTCTCCCAAGGTCCCAGCACAGCCTTTCAATTAAGTTTCAATCTGGACTTTGATCCAAACCGTCACCACTGTGCATGACACTATGAGGTGTTTGTGCTCTTATCCTGTGTTTGCTTTTGGCCAAACATCTCCAGTTTAGTCTTGAATCTCTTTAGTTCCTCAGAATCAGTAAGAATGTACTCCCCCCCACAAGACTGTATGTGTCAGTGTTGTCTTCCCTAATAAAACATTAAACGATAGATGGATTTAAAAGAAAAATCTCAGTAAAGATTTCCTGTCACAGAGGCAGGCATATTTTCTCTAATGTTGGGTGTTTTTCACATCTCAAATATGAATATGCTTAATGACAAGTTTATGGAACCAGTGAATCTTTTGAGGCCAACCTAATTATTCCCATCCCACACAGCATTTGTGATCTCAGCCAATAGCAGCACAGCGTCAATTCCTCTCCTGTTGTGCTATGAGCATGCAGGGGTCACCACGGGAAAAAGATCCACATTGTTTCACTTCCTGACACAACCTTTGCCAGCTAAGGACTGGTGTTGTGCCAAGAAAAAAGTGATTTCCAGTATTTAAACTCTTATAAATGACCGATAACCTGTCAAATAGGGTTATGTCAAGAATCATATAAAGTCATTTTAAACCACAAGCAACTTTTCCTACCAGAAGGTAAAAGCAGCAATCAGTTTTTGGCAAAGTGAGTTTTATATACTATTGCTTTATCCAGCTAAAAAGACACATCAACATTAAAAATGTATTTTCTAAAGAGGAATATGGCCAAGAGGGCAGCAGAAATTGCAACAAATATAATGTAATAGCTCTCAAGAGATATTTTAAGTGGCCAAAAAGCACTAGATTGAATATAATGTAATTACAATAAGGCTGGATCATAAAGATACCAGCAAAACATGTCATTTCTTTCCTCTCCATATATAACCCCTCCATAAATCCTGTTGACTACAGTCTTTTTTACCAACATAATAAAATACGTTACCCATAGAAAACACACTCTCTTTTTTGGCACAACACCAGCTGAAGGAGTATACACTAGCTTGTGACCCTCTGATGTTGGGCTTTTCTTTGTCTGTCTCTTCCTTGAATAGAACCAGCAAACTTCACATCAAATTGTGTGACCCACCAAACCACGGAGCCACTCTAGAATTTGGGGTTGGCGAAAATTCCCACCGGGGTTCAGAGAGGCCTGGAGAATCCAATGATATGTCCCAGATATTTACATATGTAAAAGTATTCCTACCATAAAGTTCTAAATATCCATGAACACACACATACACACCTCCACTTAAAGAGCCCCCTTTTTGTATGCTCAAACGAAGCCACGCCCCTGGTGGCGGACCTATATTATCGGGTCACTTTGAGTTGAGACGTTCTCTACGTCAGCAGGGGGCGTGGCCGCTCAGCTGTGAGGTCTGTCAGCACCGCACGGCACAGGGTGGTGGACACGACAAGAGGGACGAGCGTCGTTTATGTCAAGCAAATGTCAACTTTCCAGAGAGAAAATGAAGCAGCTAAGTCTCTGTTCAGGAGGCTTGAGGTTTTATTTTAATGTCATAAAGTAGCTGATAGATCCTGAGTAGTCAGTGACCCTCGTTTCCTCTGTATGTGCACCCTGTGCTGTGGTTTCATGGGTAAATGCTCACTGTGTGATTCCCCCCAGCGTCCCCCATTTAGTTGAATTATATTTTACATCACATTCCTGAGCTTGAGCTTGATAAAGCGCAATTACACCTCACAGCGCAATAGCTGTCAGATGTACTGATCCAGCGTCAGTGAACCAAAGATTTACAACAGATTTTGTTTTTCACTCATTTATTAAAAAAAAAAACAACCCACAATATGTGTCTGTACTGTATATCCTGCCTCGGCTGGGTTGCCCACTTTGCTGCAGCATTCTTTGCATTGCTGTTTCTTAAGCTCTACCTGATCCAGTTAAAGTGTTGACGGCAAGAGATTAGGGGCATGGGTTTTAAGAGGACTTCCTTCCCTTCAAACAGCTACAGATCAAGTCCTCTCCAAATGCCACACTCATTTGAAGTTGAAGGGGGAAAAGCTTTAGACAGAAAAGCAGGAATGTGAATGTTATAATAAACACGAGCAATAGTTCCTGCACAAACAGAGTGTGCGGGTTCTTGGGGCTTCCTACAGATGTGTAATGTAACAGCAATTAAACCCATGTCAACGCCTGCATGTATTTCTCTGGACTTTGCTGCTGTTGACTTTCTGTGCCCGTAATAACCCACACCCCACCCTCCACCAGTCTCCCTCCGCACTCTGTGATTACACATTTATTTCTCCTGGTCCTAGTCTGCAGTTACTCCCATCGTGTCCGGGGAGTACAGTCACCATCGGGACAGAGCGGCGATGGCATCCCGGATTTCTTTCACTCAGGCCCGGCTGGAAGCGGAGCTGGAGCGCTACCGGGCCGAGTGCCAGTGGGACAAGATGCCGGCGATAGTTGAGCAGATGCAGGCTGCGCGGATCCACGAAGACGGTGAGTTGATGGTGGTATGCACCTGGGTTTTTTTTTTAAGTTCAGGTGGCTGTTGTCACTTCCTGGCTGTTTTTTAACTGTTCATTGATCTGTACACTGTAAAAAAAAGGAAAAAAAGAAAAAGTTTTTTAAGTTTCGGGAAGCTGCTTCCAGGGGAGAAGCGGTAAGCGGTAAGAAATTCTCTTAAACAATTAAAAGTACTGAGGATTTATAGCAATATCCACGAGCTTTAGTTCTAATGATTTGCACAAAACACTCACTGAGTGTTGATCAAGCATGGACATTTTTTGCAGTGTTTTTTGCGCACAGGTTGGACCTTGATCTCTCAACACTGGCTTCTGCTTGTTGAAGTTTTTCTAAGCAAATCTATTCAAGCGTTGATATTACAGCAATAAATGTGATGTGCAGAGAGGGTCACACAGGGCAGTAGGATGGCCTCAATGAAAGTTTACAGTAGACACACTGAAAGGGTATATAAATAATTAAAGGAACTGAGTGGCCTTCTGCGTGCAAGATGAGCAGTATTGCCTGCATGCAAAACAAGATTTTTCCAACAGGTTATTAGCTGCCTGCCTCTGCCCTTGAAATCACTTGACACTGTACACGTGCTCAAAGAAATGCAAACACGCATATTGTTTCTGTGCCTCATAAAGCATTCATTTGGTAGCTCACTAATGCACCTGCCTCCAACCCTCACCTTAGCAGAGTAAATATGGGCTGAGGTCCTGGCTGATAGTGCAGACCAGCAGTTTCTCCTTGCTCGCACACGCGCTCATGTGTTAAATTAATGTGGTATTTCTGTGAGCATGCATGACTCACACTGTAGCTGATCTGTCAGGAACTGTGTGTGGAACGGTTTTTCTTTTTAGATTAGAGATAGAGGAACTTTGTTTCAAGTAAAGCAATAAGCTGTTAAACTTCCAACCAACTGTAAAACTGTAAAAAAGCAGTAATAGGTGGTGTACTCTGCTTTCAAGTTTCAAATGTTTTTCTTTGGGGAGTTTGCTGTAGGTGATGTTGTGAGGAAGATGTAACAGTCTGATTTTATCTCACTCAAACAGAAAGGACAGATGGGGGTAATGCGCTACTTAAAAACAGCAGATCTTTTAGGATAGCTACTTGGATAAGGTGTGTAAGGCAGACGAAGATTTGGAGCTTTTAGTAAAATACGGGAAGTACAGTATATTCTACTGTGTAGTAAATGTATTTATTTATTCATTTTTATTTGTGAATTTAAAAAACATTATGTGACCATTCATTTTATTCCCCACAGGTATCGCACGTATCCTTAAAGCTACTTTTTGTAAAAACCCTTTATAAATGTAATAAAAGCTTTCACCACAAGGTGTCTCCATTTTACCAGAAAGTTGTAGTGTAGCATTATATTCATCTGTGTACATCTGAAATTATTTCATATTAGAGCAATGAAATGTTGCTTCTAACTAATCTAATGTTTCAATCTCAATTTAAAAATGTCAATTTCTTCCTTAATCAAAAAAATTTGTGTTCTTCAGCTACTAAAACAGACCTCATAGTAACACAGTGTCTGGTTTCGTTAATTCACAGCAAAATCTCCAGTGTTAAATTAACACTAGAGAGTGTCTAAATGGGTCCACACCTCTGAGTGTTAAATACAACACTGTTGAGTGTTAAATTAACACTTTTGACAGTGTTATATGTTTAAAAGTAACCTAGTCAGTTTTGAAGATTAACAATGGCTAACACTGAGCAGTGCTGATTTTCTAACACTGGAATATTTCTAACATTTTGAGTTATTTTCCAGTGTTAGAAAATCATGGACGTGAGGCTTCTGAAGTCTCATTTTGAATCCTCAATATTAGCATTTTCACCATTACAGTTTTGGTTTAAAAATTCTGGGTGTAATGAGGAAAGGGATGTTGGATGTTATAAACTAAGCTGGAAAGTGTGTACTCAGGTCAAATTAGAAAGCTGTTTACCCACAGAGGTTTAGCTTAGAGGAACACAAGTTATTTTACAAAACAGGTGGCTTTCAGACATAACAGAGTGGAAGGCACGCCTGCACAGCTAACATCTTAGCAAACATTTAGAGTGGTGTTTCTGTCCACCTTAATGTTAGTGCAGTGCGTGCTATCTGTTACTCCATTTTGGTCTGCACTGACTTCTAAAGGGGTTATTTGGCTACTAAGCAACCAAATGCTCTACTACTTTAACTGACTAGCTAGCTAGTTGCTATACTTTATCTGCCTTAAATCACTCTTAGCATATTATTAGCATATCTGGTTACAGGGCTAACCATCAGCTAACCAGTAGTGTTTGAAAATTTGCAACTACCTCCACTTAATGTTAACATTAACTAACTGGATAGCTAGTTGCTGTACTTTATCTCCCTGCAAACCCTGAGTTTATAATCTTCATATATTAGCATATCTAGCTATAGGGCTAACCTTTAGCTAACCAGTAGTGTTTGATAATTTGCAACTACCTCCACTAAAACACAATGAAAAAAGTAATTTAGTAACTTCAGTGTTTCAAACAATCTTGAATGAGCTTCTTTTTTCCTTTTTTTTAAATTTTTTTTAGCAAAAATAAATAAATAAATAAAATAAAAACAAGAAAGAATGCTGGCTCCCAGAGGGAGATGTCTGACAGGGACAAAGTAGGAACAGAAGAGACCAAATCAATGCTGTGAGTTTTTCATAAAAGAACAAGCAATGGGTTGAAAACATCCGGGAATTAGAACTAAAAAAGCAAACTTTCTTTGTGTTTATCACTATGAGTGACCTCTTTCATAAAGAGATCCATGTGCTACTATGAAAATATTGAAACCAGCATTATTACTCACGCTTCAAACAAAGTAAAGCTCATCAGTAATAGCAAGAAACGCTTTGATCCTATTCACAGGAGGTTCAAATGTTTATTGAAATCCAAGGAAATTGTTGACTAAAGGGGAGGTGATTAGTAGGAAATGATAAGGCTGCTCCTAAAATGAAAATAGAGAAAATCAGATAATCAGAGCAATGATGATATTCAAGAGAACTGAGTGTGAGCAAACTACAGAGTAAATTTGATCTTTCTACTTGATAAGTCTTGAAGTGAAACCAGAATGTTTTTGTTTTTTTATCTCAGTCCTTACAACACCGATTCTTGCCAAAGTCTAGGCTCCAACTTGACGGTGCAGTTATTACATTGCTCCTAATGTGGCCACGGGCTGAGACACGTCCTGGTGTTTAGCCCCCACCTTCCCCTCGCAGATATCTTCAGCCTTGACTGTGCTGATAAACCAAACTTGCAAATATGTCAAGTATATCAGGGCATAAACACTGCGCGCAGAGCTGGCAGTGGTAAACACACATACGCACGGTGAAAAAGCCAAACAGGAAAGCTTTAATCGAGTGTGTGTGTGTACACAGACACTGAGGTTTACTACTGGACTGTAACTGAGTGCAAGGCTCCATCTGAAGCGGGTTGTTTTACTACACATGTAAACTTTAAATCGCTGTAGGTGGATGGGAGTGTTTATCTGCTGATACCGAGATTAAAGTTCTTTAGGAAAAATATTAGGAGAAATGGAAACTGTAGTTTCTAAACAGACTTAAGGACTCAGGCATGTTTAAACTGCTCTCCCTGGGAATTGCTGTTTTGAATGGACTGAGGGAGGTTTGCTTTGGCTACAGAAACAAATGACCTGTGACCTTTAGCTCAGACCTTCAGCATACTCCGCTCACTGTGAACCTTTTCGATGCCGCCCCCTTCTTTAGATGATTACGGGACGCTGCTGATGGCAGAGGCGCTGCTGGAGGAGTGCGTGCTGGAAAACATGGATCTGCTACGCAGGTCCAAACCTTTGGTGGACAAAACCCAGCCCAAACTGTGCAAGGCCAAAAGACTCCTCAATACCATCCTTAGCCGAGGCCGTCTAACAGTTAGTCTCATCTAACTTACTTCTGACATCTGAGTTTTAGACTTTGCTCTGCTTTTTAAAAAACGACTTCCTTCATTTAATCAAACAAAGCCCTAAAGCCATTGTTTCACAGAGCACCGACAGCTTCTATAAATTCCATCCTTTTCCGTGGCTTCTTCCTATTCAGCATTTCTTTATATTGCTGTCCTACAGCCCCGGTACTTGAACGAGGCTCTGCTGCTGATGGCCAAAGTGCACTACGTGCAGGGACGCTACCGGGACGCCCAGGGAATGTGTGCCAGGGTGGGGCTGGAGGAGCTGACGCAGGATGACCAGCCGACCTACCACCTCCGCCTGCTGGCTGAGGCGTTCGTGATTAAAGGTAAAAAAATGTTTTTCTTTCCTATTTCTAAGAGTTTAATTGGTTGGTTCTTGATAGCAAAGAAAAGAAAAACTAATTTTGAAGAGAAACCAAAGATAAACACTGCAGAGAATCCAATCTGTTGCATGTGCAGTAGGGAGTGTGTAGTTTTCTGCGCATGCTCTCTGCTCAGTTTTAACTGAATATAGTTGGTTACATAATCTTTCTGCACTTCCTGTCCTGTATGGCTGTCTACTGCGTGACTTTGTTTCTTTAAGCTGCCATGATCGACAGTCGTTGCAATGGGCAGCATTAAGAAAGAGATTTGCACATCCACTTTTTTGCAGGTACACCAAAGAGAAAGAAAATCCTACAGTGTCTTGAATGCATTTAAGTTAAGAGGAGTGAGCTTTAATCTTCGTACTCACACGGTAGTGGCTGTTTTTAAGCTGCAAGGCTGAAAGGTCGATGAAAAAGCAAAATCACTGACAACACGGCACACTCACCAGCACCAGAGGACAACGAGGGGACAGCAGGAAGCAGGAGGGCTCGTGGGAAATGTCATGGGGGAGAAACTAGCTTAGTTTGGACCAGGACTTGAGGTTTTCCTGATCATTTTTATTTAATTTTAAAGGACGTTGGCAGTAGCTCCTTTGGGATGAGGGGGGTTACAGGGCAGGTAGCTCAGGTGTGTTCCACTTCATTCTGCAGATGCCCCTCAAAAGCATTTAGGTATGTGTCTAAGTAACGATGCATATGAACCCAAGGACACGAGGTTTCCCAATGCATTTCACTGTAAGGCGACAGCGAGTGCATGTGATTCACCTCACCTTCCTGTGATTTTGACTTGTGGCCGATCAGCGTGTACCGCTAACTGCAGCCGTGCTACTGGTTCTACACTATGTCACTGACTGACAGCTGGTGGCAGCAGCGCACCGACAGCAGAAGACCGCTAGCTACCAAGGACACGTAATAATAATAAAATCTCTTTAGACCTTAATTGATTTTTTCGCACTCAGCAGCAATAACATTTCTTTTAATTTAGAAACAGGATCATTACTTAAAAATATACCTGACAGAAGCCATTAAAACTTTTTCCTCTTACAAACAGTAGACTCTACACTTTAACGCTCCACTAACTCCAGGAACTCCTCTCTCCACTCCTGAATGTGCGATTTTAATGCCAACTGATTGTAAGTGTCACTGGAGCCTGGCTGTGCCCACAGTCTTTGTGTGAAAGAGTGACGATATGTCCTTATTAATGAAGCCTGTCCCAGTGAGCTCCATAAACCTCTAAAATCCTTGGAGGCACAGTTAGTATAAAAATGTCACGCAGGAGAAATTTGACTGCTTGTTAATACTGCCAGGTATGAGTGCTGAGACAGACCCGTGGTGGTTTTAAAGAATACTTGCGAGGTGGAAAGCATACATTATATATTGCAATCTCAATGTTTTCAGGACGTTCCACCAATGTCGCATCTGTGCAGTGGTCTCACTCTAACCCTATCTACATGAAATATAATGCACTTCATAACACAGCTGACAGTGTTTCAGTATGGCTTCTGGATGTCTGCTACACCGCTGCACAGTTTACATTTACAGCACATCTCCTGCTTGTCAGCCTGCACCTTCAGTAAGCAAAAGCAGCTCTAAGAACTGGCAGGTTTCCTTGAAAAACACCAGCAGCAAGGTTGAACTACTCTCGTCATACATTTCCTTAATGATCCCTTAACTAATCCCTCTGATAGGAGCTGTTACAGCCTTAAAATCACAATGACCTTTTATGGGGTTTGGAAGTGGAAATGGAAGGGAGGCAACGGGCCAGACTGTGGATTCAAACGTTGCACGACTGGAAAACATCAGCTTGATTGGGCACGGAGCTACTATTGTGTTTTAACCTTAAAGATCCTGATGAAGCGGTGCATTTTCTTTCTATGCATCGCTGTTCTGTCCCGCAGACACCTCGAGGGAGCAGATTGGGAATAAGCTAACAACGTAAAGCTCGTCTGGAAGCTGATTTCCCACCTCTGGTCTTTGTCTTGACACGTTTTTCTACAGATGCTTCTTTTAAAAGCACAACAATCATGAGTCATACGTGAAGGGAGGATTTACAGTTAGTCACAATCACAAGCTGTCTCAAGCTCAAACATGAACGCCCCCCTCCCCCTCCATCACTTTTTATTTTGGAGTCATTTTAAAAATATGCTCTTTCCAGTCAGATACAGCCTTAAGTGTTTTGTTTGTTTTTTTTTTTGCTCTAATGTGACTCACTGAATACCAGCATCATTAAAGGTCACAGATCACATTCACAGAACATTACACTGGAGGCCTGGATAATCTTGTTTCACTCATTATAATCATCATCATTACGCGGCTACACTCCCTGTTTCCTGATGATCGGATGTGACCTCACACTCATCAAACTGGAGAGAATTTGTTGCAATAACTGTCAGATTTCTTTTGATTGCTTTGAAGCCCACTGAAGGATTGTCTTTGCAAACACTTTTAACGTAGATCAGATCCTCCGGGAGCTGCTTGTCTCCTTCCTGCACTTTTCCCAGGGTTGCTTTGGAAATGAAGTCAGATGTGAATACTTGGATGATGACGTCTCCTTATTTGATTTAGCTTGGCGTCTGGCTTGAGACTGCTGCCCGTCACAGGCCTCCTGCGGTCTCGAGAAGTCGTCCCCCCCCACTTGTTTGTACAAATAAGTGCACTAGCAGACATCATCTGGACAGCACCAGCCTGTTAACGGCCGCTTCTGTACTTGTGCATCAGAAATGCAATTATAAGTAGAAAAAACAAACAAACAAAAACAAAAGGACAGTGTTCAGTTCAATTTTTATGTATACAGCACAAAGCTTTAAATTTTAAGGTGAAAGCCCCTCCACAAAACCAAATGGAAGAAAGGAAGAAACCTCTGGGTGAACCAGCCATCTACCACAACTGACTAAGGGGGATTAGGGGAAAATGTAGGCAGGAAGGATGTTCATGAGCATAGAAATGCAGAAAGGAACTAGCCCTAACCCTCCACAGGAAGACAATCAAAGCCCTAAAGGTGATGCCTTCGTTTGTATAACTGAAAATGGCCATGCAGACAGGATAACCATAGTTATTAGATGCTCATCCTGAAGGAGACGCTAACATTTGTACCAATTTTCCATCCAAGAACTGCTGAGATACTTCACTTGAAATCACAAATACTAACCTTGAGAGATGCTCGAGGAAAAGTCATGGGATCATCTAAGATCAGGATTCATCCTCTGGGACTAGTAAATATTGTCAGAGCTGTCCAACGCACATCCGAGTCTCATTTTAACAGACTAAACTTACTTGTATTTTCAGATCTATCTCGGTGAAGTCTGTCAGAGCAACTGAGCATTGCAAGTGCAGACCGAGTAACGATGAATGGACAAACAGTTGAAGCAGTAAAGTTTGATTATCGCCACTTTCAGTCTATTTTGTGAGGCTCAGCCTCCGTATTTCACATATACGTCACAACATTTACCCCTAGCTGCTACATTTCGAAAAACCCTGTTTGAAATGTTGTTATTAGTAATACTAATGATTTTATCAGGTAAACTGACCTCTTCCAGTCACCCACAGCTCCTGTATTACATTTTCAGCTTAACCTGACCAGCTGAAAACTAAAGCAGTTACATTTTTAATGGTAGCTTTTGTTAGTTTGTTTGCTTAGTTAGTCGCTGAGAGCAGGTGCTCGTAAAAAAGCCACGGTCTCTCTCCGTGCGTTTCAGGTCTGTCTCTGGATCACCAGACGCTGTCTGCCGTGTCCCGTGTTCGTCTTTCTGAGAGAGAGGAGGAGTCCCTGTCCTGTTACCTCAGGGCCTGTGATGCAGCTCTGTCCTACCTGCAGGAGCTCGATAAGGTGGGCTTTTTATGCCCGTGTGAGAGCATGAGCGTGTGTGACCCTGTTATGGCTGTGTTTGGTTTGGCATTTTACTCCATTTTACTGTTTACTGAGTTGTTGTAATAATCTTTTGACAGAAACTTTAAATTTCATAGGGGGTTAATAATCTTGTCTGTTTTATCTCTGTGTTTTCAGGTTGTAACAACACCCCACATCAAGTCAGCCAAAACCATTTTACTTCACTCACCCAGTGATATTGAACTGGGCTACTTCCTGCAGGCTGCATTACAGAGTGCTTACCTTTGTCTGCTGCATAGGGGGTGAGGGTAGCAACCATAACAACCATATTATTTTTCAAAAGCAAAAAATAGACCAGCAAACATCTTTACACATGCTCACATGTGACAGTATAATTCCAACGTCTTTGATAAGAGTACAAGTCAGATGATTTCAATTTTGTTCTGATTATATTTACATAATTATTAAATAGAATTTGTTACATGTGTAGCTGCAGATTGGATTCTTGTTTTGTGCACTGCAGAGTTTTATTGCTGATTCCTCCTTTGATCACAAGACTCGCTCTGCGGAGCAGAGAGCTGTGTGCTCTGTCGTTTAGCTTGTGTTAAAGTGAAGAGGAGAAGAAGAAATCAAGCCTAAGCTTTCCAGCACCACTTGACCTTAGTGCACCACAGATGCATTTTTACTCGTGATCAATAGGTGGCAGTGTTGCTCTTAGACATAGAAAAGCAAGGTGCGTTTGAATGGTCACATAGGAACACCATCTCTGTAGAAAGTATAATATTATGTCTTACTCATTCATCCACTGCCCATAAATGAGGTCGCTGTGAGTAAAGAAGAGTTCGAGTGTGTTGTCTCAGTCAAAGAAAAACTTTTGCTTTGATTACATGGCAACAAACATCCTGCAGGACTTTATCTCTGTAACACTGTGATACTAGATCGCCTAAATTCTTCTTCTTCTGCACATTTATTTTTGTTTAATGTTACACTTTCACACCTACATGTCACACTGATATATGCTTACTGTGTGTGTGTGTGTGCGCGTGTGTGTGTGCGCGTGTGTGTGCGTGTGTGTGTTAGTCATCTTGCACAGGGTGCTCACCAGCTGCGTAGAGTGCTGAGGGTGGTGGAGTCACGAGGGTCTCAGAACTTCAGAAAGGTGGGCCACCTCTCACACACACATACGCACACACACACACACACACACACACACACACACACACACACACACACACACACACACACACACACACACTGCACTGTATTCTAATACTTAACCATTGTGACATACTTCAAGTCCATTTACTCGACACCAGTCGTATGCTTTCACCAGCTTTCATGCAGTTTGTATGTGTAATATTATACATACACATACATAATAACACAAGAACAAGTACTAACTGACCTGCTGCCATATGATGTGCAGGTGATTGGTTCAGCACAATTTGTAATCTAGAGAGACTGTAGGCGAACGCGCCTTCCACCAAAGCCAGTGACCTGTCCACATTCAAATGTAATATTTTCTTTCTTTGGGACTGTTCCAACTCTGCACCAAATCTGATGAAGTCCAGTGTTTTGGCTTTAGAGAAAAACACTGAAAACACATCTTTATACGGGAATGTTTTCTGTAAAACGATCAGTAAAAAAAAAAGAAAAAAGAAAGTTATTTTTATTCTTATTATTATTATCATTCAAATTTTCAAGTGGACAGATTCTGCATTTTTCTGTCATGTGTATAAACTGTTACAGCGGTGAGTGGATGATCATATTAAACATGATCACATATAGTCAGATATGAGTAATCCCTGTAAACTGAAAGTTCAGGACTGTTCTTGAATCTGTATGATGCCAGTGAGAGCGGAGCTCCTAAAATACAATCAATTCAGTTACAAACTGTGGTTAAGAAGCCTTTGCGAGGGGCAGCCAATCAGGAGAAAGCGCACTTAACAGGAGGGGGAAGGGAGTTAAAATAGTTTGTTTCAGACAGACTTATTTATCGTATCCTGGCTGCTTGAGATGAATAAAGATTGAGAACTGAGAATCATACAAAGTTAAACCATGAAAGCTGAAAAACAGCATAAATACAGGACTCAAAGTATCAGTATTCCACACCTGCACTAATACAGCATCTGCATGTGGCTCCATCCTAGTCTGCAGCGAGAAAACTAGCAAAAGTGTTGCTGAGCTCTGTGAGCGAGGACAGCTACTGGCCCCCGCTGGGCCCCCCACCCTCAGCCTGGCTTCACAGAGAAGGAGCCGCCGCCTCCAAAGACGCCATCTACCCCACTGTTAAACCACCACATCGCTACAGCACAGAATGGTTTGTACACTCTGTTTTTTTTGTTTTCATTTCAGTATTTTTGGTTTTCTGTTTCAGTCTGCTCTAGTCTAATCGTGCTAAATGCAATTACTTGAGTCATGCTAAGTATTTAGCTTATAAAGCTATACATGACTGCTATGATGGTGTTAGTTACTTCACCGTATCAGCTGACAATAGTGGACAAAGATTATCTCACTAAGGAGTGTCGCTTTAGTACTTTGAGCCCACGAGTATCTCTTTTGTCTAAATTACCCTCCTGTTAAGACCTTGGTGCTTACTGCAGTTTGACCCGAGTGTTGACCTGCTGCATGACAACCTACATTAACTCCCATGTCCACTGACTTAGCAACACTAAGATGAATTTCCCTTCCATCCATTTTCTTAACCACTGATCCAATTTCAGGATCTGGGAGGGCTGGAGTCTATCCCAGCTGTCATTTGGAGGGAGGTGGGGTACATGCTGGGCTGGCTGCCAGTCTATTAGAGACAAATGGGAAACAAGAAAATAGTTTTTTGGTTGGACACCATTAAGATGGCCCCCAAAAAACAATATTGTTCTTAATAATGTGATGCCTGTGATGGGATTTTGCTATTTTTGTCTCTTCTGTAAACACAACATGTCCATCAGTCATGGGTTCCCTCCTTTGTTACTTTCCCAGAGGCTGCTCTATTTTCTCTTTTCTGGGGCTGGGAGGGACGGTCTATATTCTTTATAGATTGTGAGATAAATTTGCTTTTTTTGTTTCCTAACAAAATTAACCTGATTTGTAACAAAACATAAGCATCGGAGTTAAAGAAGAACTATTACTTGTCAATAGTTTAGCTGAAGGTTGAACTTTTAAACAGGTTTTGTCTGGAGAAACAAAACAAATCACACGGTCTTTCAGGTCGTCTGTGATGTCTGAAGCTGATTCGGGTGGTTTTCACTGCGCCTGTGGTTCAGCTCTGTCCTGGAGAAACCACTAGAATGCCACTAGAGGTCATCACATCCCAGGCTTAATTAACACTGGCTGAAAACCTGCTTTAGAGGAGGTTAAAGGGCTCAGAGCGAAGCCAGACTTCAGTTCATTCATTAGTTCATTTCTGACACCAGAAAGCAGGCTGCTGTTTTATCTGTGCTATAGGGCGGTTCTTTGAACATAGTGCTTATATAACATAACATGTCAGCGTAGCGTAACGGCAGAAGGCAGAAGAAACCCTTGGCCAGCCCCGACAGGACAAACTGGTTATGTGCAACAGCACACAACAATGATCACCACATAGTTGTCTAGTTTCTGCCCTCATTGCAAAGGAATCCTGCGCTTGTTGCTCGGGCCCTGCAAGCCATACTTAGTCACCGCAACATGACTAAGCTAGCCCACACTATCATAAGTGAAGATCTAAATCCATGTCTGAGATTTGAAGGAGAGAGGAGGAACAGGAGAAACAGGCTGTGCTTCGGCATTGTTCGTGGCTTTTGTTATCAGTTGCCTCCTGAAAAGGCCTCTGTGGTGTCTGGTAAACGTGTCCTTTAAAAGGACACGGAGTTGATGAGAGGGGCAAAGAAAGTGATGAATAGAAGGAAAAGTGTAAGACCCAAAGAGTGTGTGTTTGAGAGAGAGAGAGAGAGAGAGCGAGAGACATCTGAGATACTACTGTATAGTGATATATCCAGGGTGGTCTGTATTATGTTACAGCTCCACAGGTGAGACAGAAACGTGACACTCACACCAGTGTACTTCTGGATGTGTGTGTGTGTGAGTGAGAGAGGGATAAAATTCCCATTCTTGGTACTATTTCCTGCTTTCTGTGTCCTGGCAGTTGCTTCTGTCCTCAGGACGTGGTGGAGGAGGCCATTTTGCTGCTACTCATCACAGAATCCATGGTGAGATGCTCTCTCACACACACACACAAACCACAACACACACACACGCACACATTCGTTTTCATATATTTGTGGGGACACCTCTTTCACATAATGCTAACCATCCAAAATGAAAGCCTAAACCTAACCGTGACCTAACTGTAACCCCGACACTAAAACCACATTTTGAGTCAAACTCGTGGGGACCGGGATTTTGTCCCCATTAGGGCTGCTGGTCCCCATAAGCTTGGTAAAATTCCAGTTTTGGTCCCCACAAAGATATGTAAACACGCACACACACATCCACCTTTCCTTGCTTCCTCGTCTTCCTCATCCCGCGTCTCTCTTTATCCAGGCCAGCGGTGACGCGGTGATCAGTCGTCTGCCGGATCAGGCTGAGGCTCGCAAGACCAGTCTGCAGGACGCCACCTCAGTCTATGACCTGCTCACCATCGGCATGGTCAGGAGGGGGCAGTACGCCATGCTCTCTGAGGTGTTCTGACACACGCACGCATGCAGACGCACACTATGCTGGAGGTCTAAGGGGAGGCGAGCAAAAGAGGGAGAGATGAGATGTGTTAGTGAGAGCTTTGCCTTTGCCAAACTTTTTAATGAATGTCCTTATCACTTGGAGCACAGGGATTATGTGTCTTTTTCTCTCACTGCCTCTCAGTCTTTTCTTCATCTCTCACCATCCCCCACACTGCCTGTTCTTTTCTAGTTCTTCTTCTGGCTTTGAATTCCTCCTCCATTTTCTCATTTTTTGTTTAAACTGTCCCCCCCCCCCCAGTGTGACTTTCTACCCAGATGTGGGAAGTTTAAGAGGCGGAGGTTAGCGGGGTTGTCTCAAATTAGGTTTGTCCACAAGTCTCACTGATTCATATATAGCATATGGGAGACCACACACGCTGAGGTAGTTCCACCTACACCAGTGGATCAATTTGCTGATGTATGAGGCCTGCATGGGCCATTTATTTAAACACAGGGGATGAAGACACAAGGGGAATCTGATGATAACTATAACAAGGCAACGTAGGCAAAATAGACATGAGCACATAAACAATGAATATCAAAATATAAGAAAATGAAAAAACACAGGGTTACGACCCAGGACTGTGACAGTTTGTGCTTCAGACAAACATTCTGTGCACAAAATGAGAACCGTGACCTTTGACTCTGACTTCCACTGACAGGAAGGGTATTGAACTGAACTGGAATGCGTACAAGAGTAAACTAGCTCTAGAGATTTATGTTTTTTAAATGCATCAGTGGTAAGATAAAATCTTTACAGTATATGAATAAGAGATAACGTTTATATTCCTTAGTATTACTACTTTGATAGACAAGTCTTTGGAATAGGTTGCTTATTTTCCTTTTCCTTGAATATGAAGGGAAAGCATAGCAATAATATAAATTCCTGGTATGAAATTAAAACATGATTTCTTACCACAGAGACACCATGGACTGACTGATGCTACAGTAAGGATGCAATCAGTCTTATTCATGACGTCAAAGAGGGAATGTATTGACTGGCTGACACCTGATTTTAAGTCCCCTTCGCCCTTCGTGTGTTTCTGCGTGGCTCATGTTATCAAGTTCGTGTCATGTCTGTGTCCCATCATGTTTCCTGTTTTACTTTGAAAGTCTTGTTTATATGTTCATCGTGCTTAGTGCTACTTTTCCCTGTGGCGTCATGATGTTCATTTTTGTCAGCTGTTTCTCCATATGTTTCCACTTCCCCTGATTACCTCCTGTGTGTATTTAGTCTGTGTGTTTTCATTCTGTCTTTGCCAGGTCGTCTGTGTTACCTCCCTCACGTCTTCTCATAGTTCTTAGAGTTGAGTCACAGTTTTCATAGTTTTTCGTTTTCCCAGTTTACGTTCTAGTTTAGTTTCGCTACTGTCCTTGTTGCTTTGTTTTGCCTTCTTGTAATCAGCCATGATAAAGGCTTGTTTTCCGTTTGAAACTTAAGTCAAGCTCCGCCTCCCTTTGTATCTGCGTTTGGGTCCACAATTCACAGCTCACACAGTCTGCTCCCGCAGATCGTGACAGTAACTCAGTAACCTGAGTTGAAAAGTTCCACTCTTTGCGTGTCTCCAAACAGTATTTCAGTCTTGAGCTGTGGAGGAGAGGAAAAAAGGCAAATGTTGTACTAAATAATTGGAAATAAAGTATCTGAATTTCAGAAGCGGGACCACGCCCCCAAACATGCTCCTTCCGGTTCTCATCTATATAGGTTCCCCCAGTTCTACAAGCTGTTCGTTCTTGTTTACATGCCCCTCCCTCACTCCCCTTTTAATTCTTTAACTTCTTCACTTATATTTAGTGCACGAGGATCTGCCAGGCCCGGGAGCCGCGGCCAGTCCCCTTCAAGGCCTTCCCCAAACCGCAGCTCAATTCATGCCCAAGCCATTCACCTTTATCTACTAAAACGCTATCAAACCTCAAATGAAGACGTGGGCCCAGCAAGTGAAACTGAATGATTTCCCTTTAATCTGTCAAGTATGTGCCGCAGCTCCATCTTAGTTTTATATAAGGTCTAACGTGTTTTTCCTGCTTACAGCACTGTTATGTCTCCTAATGTCCACTGTGAGTAGTAGCAGAAACACTTTCATTATAACATAAGCACCTGACTGAAAAACTTTAAAAGGACTATTGCTAATAAACTTAATTAAACTTTAGTAAATTTTATTTTTAAAATTTAAACTCTAGTAATTAATAATTCACACTAATCACTGGTGATGTCATAATTTATGTTTATTTATGTCAGTTTTTTAAACAGGAAATAATAATTTTATGAATTATACCCACTGGGATGGACTAGTGACCTGGGAGTACCCCACCCTCTCACCCAAAGTCAGCTGGGATAGGGTCCATCTCTCTAGTTAACAGGATGTCTGGATGGACAGATGGATAGATGTTTGGTCAGTCTCAGGGCTTCAAATGCTGCCCTTTAGTCGACACAGCTGGTTTCTCACCTGTAAGGTGTCTCTATGTGATAGTCAGCTTGTCAAATTTTACCTTAACCCACCCAAACATTGTCATTAACCCAGTCGTGTAGTTTTGGCCTGATTATGAAACCAAACATGAACTGTAGTTTCCAGAATCAATGTTGTATAATTTAAACCTCCCACCCCCCACCTGCCTACTTGTGCACTCTTTAAAGGTACACCGTGTAAAATCTCACCGATAGAAGCTTGAAGACTGCAGTCAGCTGAATTCGGTTTTCTTACCCCTCCCAGTTCAAGTGCATAATTCTGGTGGTTGCTGTAATCCAAACAACTTTAGTCATCATTCATCTATAGTGAGTGTCTGTTGTTAGACCGCTGTTTATCCCACTTTTAAATATGACTGTCTGATGACAGCGATGCTAAAGAGAGTTACTGAGGATATCCTGAACTTTTCTGTCAGTAAGAGCTGCTGTTTTAGCCGCTGTTTTAGCTGCTGTTAGCTGCTGTTAGCCACTGTTTTAGCTGCTGTTTTAGCTGTTAGCCGCTGTTAGTGAAACTTTCTTTGAAGTTAATTGAACATTGTTGGACTCTTAGTGATGTTTAGTAAATAAACTCATACGATGTGGGAATGTAATCAAGCGATTTTTAGGATACTCAAGCCTAATATTAGCCTGCATATTGTTAGCTTTTAACCAACTGTTTCTTGTTTAGCCAGCCTGACAATATCTAGGAGTAACTGCAACGATATCGGGAATAAATAGTAATGTTTTTGCATGTTCCCTGACTTCAGGCATAAGGTGAATTTCATGTGGTGGGTTGAAGTGAGGAGGAAGAGGATGAAGTGGAAGTGGAGGAAGACATAATGAGAAAACGATGATGAAAACATAGCTGTGCATTTATTAGATGGTCATTATAGTTTAAAAGATTTAAAAGCTATTTGTGATATTTATAAGGTGTAGTTACGTAAGTGGTTGGAAGTTGCTGTTGGAAGACATAATTTCACACTAATGAATGAACACAATTTTATTTTTTTCCGTTACATAATTCAGAAAATTACTTACTATATCCTTAAAACAAGTGGCATCCTTGCAAACACTGTTCATAGGTGGTTCTTGAACCAGTTTTTAGAAAAAGTTATCAATTAATAATATCTAATTAAATTAATTCCATCAATTTTCTTAAACACATATGTCTCAGCTGACACGTCTATCACAGGGCTAATTGTCATTCCATTGTTTGTTAATAGTGCAAAACTGTAAGCATTTAGTCCAGTTGATACAACAGTTATATATGGTGCAGCTCAAAGTACTGTACAGTAGGAGACTTAACGCACTTGTATCTTTTAACCTCTGTTATTACAATTTGGCTGAAGCTTACTTCGAGCTCTATATATTAACCCTTCTAAACAGAGGTTAAGTAGGGATTTGTAATGGTTTGGGGCCTGATTTAGCTGGGTTAACAAGGGTCAGCAATACTGCCAGTAGCAGCAGAGACAGTTGCAGCTTCATATAGCTTCATAAAGACCTGCAGTGAACCATTACATTTCTTACACGCTTCAGTTCATGTTAGAAAATACAGAGCCCATTCACGACTACAATTAGCTACATATTCCACACTCTCTTATTCAATTAAATCCTACAGAGGTTGGTATTGTGTGCCTTTGCTCTATTCAGCATGGCATCTTTGTCTGCATGTTACTTTGTGTGCAACCTTTCTAATAAGTGCACATTTTTTAATCCTACTACTTGGCAGACCTTTTTTCTTGATGTAGCTCGCTTCTGCATGACTGACAACATCTGCTGAGCGGCGCTCCACGCCATCCTGTGCTTGTCCACACACACATCACTCACATCATTATGTACTGAAACAGCACAGAGTGGGTGGTGAGCGCTGACTGACAATCGATTTTGAGCGAGAGGAATGTGACTACGAACACTGGCCATTCAGCTTTGTGACTGTAAAGGAAAACAAAAAGCTTAATGTCCACACCGAACCATCCACTCTTATCGGCGCACTCTACTTGTACAAAGTTTCATAACTTAAACATGTTTGTGTATTTGTTTTTCTCCTCGCAGTGTCTGGAACGAGCCATGAAGTTTTCATTCAACGAGTTTCACCTGTGGCACCAGTTGGGCCTGTCACTCATGGCCGCCCGGAAAGTGAGCTCATTTCTCCGTTTAAATCAAACACCACATCACACCCAAAGGAGATAGCTATCTTCTATCTATTCTATCTATCTAGGTATTCATGGTAATGAAATGTAATCTTAAAAAGGCACATTTTTTAAATGGGAGTCCTCAGAATACCTCACAGTGCTCTTTCAGTCTCTAAGTGTCTGTGTCTGCGTGTGTGTGCGCACAGAGCCATGCGTGTGACAGAAAAATTGATGTGGATTGCATGATAAAGTGACAGCAGATCAATGGTGAGATCTAGAAATAGGCTGCTCCCTAGAAGGAGAGGGACCGCCTCAGTGTTGTCAGATCTGCTTCTATTTAGGGCCCGCGGGCGTGCACGCGCACATGTGCTCACGCATGTGCACGTGCACGTGGTCCATTAATGATTGACCTACATGTATTAAGTGACCATGTGTCTAAATGGGTCTATTAGGGCTGTGTGAGGACAGTTAATGTATGTTTGATACAGTCGCTCAAAAGCGATCCATGTCATCTGTGGCTGAATGATAAGTGGCTGCTGTTTGCTCATTAATCACAATTTGTCATTGACATTTCCGTGTATGTGTGTGTGCGTTTCAGGGGGTTGGTGCTGTATCTGTATTTAAAGAGTGTGCCAGGATGAGACCAGAAGACCCTTCGTTGCCCTTGTTGGCTGCTAAAGTCTGCATTGATCAGCTGCATTGGGTAATTACACATGTAACATCTACTTGCAAAAAAGGGGGAAAAACTTCAACTTAAATACTTTCAAATAATTTCTGGCTAATTTGGCTTTATGCAGCTGCTACTTGCGGAAGCATGATTGGTCTGCAGCTCATTCAGGCAAAGAGCTTTAGGCAAGGCAAGTTTATATATATATATATATATATATATAGCACAATTCAACAACAAGGTGATTCAAAGTGCTTTACAGAGACATTAAAAACAAAAACAAATAAAAAGCATGATTTAAAATTTATTTAAAAAACAAATAAACAAAAAAAAAAACAGTATATAAAATCAAAACAGATAAAATCAGAACACTAGATAAAATCAGTAGTTAAAATATAAGTTTTGACATTTAAGCTTAAAGTGTGGATTTGGTGCTTTATTTAAATGCAGCTGAGAACAGGTGAGTCTTCAACCTGGATTTAAATAAACTGTGTTTCAGCTGATCTGAGGCTTTCTGGGAGTTTGTTTCAGATATATGGAGCATAAAAGCTGAATGCAGCTTCTCCGTGTCTGGTTCTGACTGGGAACTGATAAAAAACCAGATCCAGATGACCTGAGGGATCTGGAAGGTTCATACTGGGTCAAATTCAAATTCAAATTCAAATTTTTTATTTGTCACGTACACAGTCATACACAGTACGATATGTAGTGAAATGCTTGGACAACTGCTCGTGACCTAAAGAAAACAAAAAAGGAAAAGGCTATGAATAAGATAGGAAATAAATATGAAAAATTAAAAAGGGTAAATTTAAGTAGGAAGGAATAAAATATAAATTAAGGTTAAAAATGAAATAACTGTACAACACAAATTAGAATGAAGGGTAAATTTAACTGGGAAGAATAAGATAAAATATATAAATTAAAGTTGAAAATAAAATAACTGTACAACAAAATACACAATATAGAACTATATAAGAATGTATGAAGAAATCTAAATCTAAATAAATATATACACAATAACAGCAGCTGTACAAGTATTAACCGGAAATGAAGAATATAGTGACCAGTGTTGTGCAAAACCAAAGTCCAGAAAGTCCAGTGTGTGTGTAAGAACCATATGTGTGGGTCAGTACTGTGTGGTGGTGTGATTGAGAGACCGTATCGCCTGCGGGAAGAAGCTCCTCCTCAGTCTCTCTGTGTTGGTCTTCAGGGAGCGGAATCGCTTTCCTGACCTCAGCAGAGAGAACAGTCTGTTGTTGGGATGGCTGAGGTCCTTCACGATCTTCCTGGCCTTGGTCCAGCACCGCCTGCTGTAGATTGAGTGCAGGTCAGGGAGCTCGGAGCGGATGGTGCGCTCAGCTGACCGCACAACCCTCTGTAGAGCTCGTCTGTCCTGCATGGTGCTGTTCCCGAACCAGGTTAAGATGTTTCCCACCAGGATGCTCTCTATGGTGCACGAGTAAAAGTTCCTGAGCACCTTGGAGGGCAGTTGGAAGTCTCTCAAGCGTCTGAGGTGGTAGAGACGCTGTCGGGCCTTTTTCACCACGGTGTTGATGTGACAGGACCATGACAGGTCCTGCGTGATGTGAACTCCGAGGTATTTGAAGCTGTCCACTCTCTCCACTGGGCACTCGTTGATGACGGGGGTCTGGTAGTTCCTCTCCTGCTTAGTGCTGAAGTCCACTATCAGCTCCTTTGTCTTACTGACGTTTAGAAGGAGGTTGTTCCTCTGGCACCAGTTCTCCAGATTCCTAATCTCCTTCAGGTAGGCCGTCTCGTTGTTATCAGAGATCAGGCCCACCACGACGGTGTCGTCAGCAAACTTGATGATGGTGGTGGAGCTGGTAGTGGCCACACAGTCATATGTGTACAAAGAGTACAGCAGGGGGCTCAGAACACACCCCTGGGGGGCTCCAGTGCTGAGAGTGGTGGAGGCTGAGACATGTCCGCCCATCCTTACTGCCTGTGGTCTGCCAGTTAGGAAGTTGGAGATCCACTGACACATAGATGAGCTGAGTCCCAGATGCTCCAGCTTGGTGGTGAGTGTGGAGGGAATTATGGTGTTAAATGCAGAGCTGTAGTCTATGAAGAGCATTTTAACATAATTCCCCCTTCTAGTGTCCAAGTGAGTGAGTGATGTGTGGAGGAGATGAGAGATGGCATCGTCTGTGGAACGATTTGGACGGTAAGCGAACTGTAGTGGGTCCAGTGTGTCTGGTAGTGAAGAAATGATGAAGTCTCTGACCAGGCGTTCAAAGCACTTCATCACTACTGAGGTGAGGGCTACAGGGCGATAGTCATTGAGAGAAGCAGGGTGGGGTTTCTTCGGGACAGGAACAATGATGGACTCTTTGAAGCATGTGGGGATCACCGACTGAGATAAAGAGATGTTGAATATCTCAGTGAACACAGGAGCTAGCTGGTATGCGCAGTCTCTGAGGATACGACCTGGGATGCCGTCTGGTCCTGCTGCTTTCCTGGTGTTCACTCTCTTAAAGGCTCTCCTTACTTCATGCTCGGAGATGACGAGCACGTTTCCGGTGCTGGCAGTATCTTCCTGTCTGCAGCCGTTAGCGCCGCTAACACTAGCATTGTTGGAGACCTTAGCTGCAGCCTCGAAGCGAGCATAGAAAGTGTTCAGCTCGTCTGCCAGAGTCACGGCCGCGTTCGTCATACCGGTTGTTGGTGCTTTATAGTCCGTTATTGTCCTTAGTCCCCGCCACAGGCTCCTAGAGTCACTCTGTTGGAGTTGTGACTCTAGTTTCCTCCCGTAGCGCTGCTTCGCCTCTTTCACCGCCCTCCGCACGTTATATGACGCGGCTTTGTACGGGTCCATGTCCCCTGTCATGAGTCCCGTGTTGTAGGCAGCGGTGCGGGATCTCAGAGCGTCGCGGTCAGGAGGTCACTGATGTATTTTGGTCCTAAACCATTCAGAGCTTTATAGACCAGCATCAGAACTTTAAAGTCTATCCTCTGACGGACAGGCAGCCAGTGTAAAGACCTCAGAGCTGGACTGATGTGGTCCACTTTTTTGGTCTTAGTGAGGACTCGAGCAGCAGAGTTCTGAATGAGCTGTAGTTGTCTGACTGATTTTTTAGGTAGACCTGTAAAGATGCTGTTACAGTAATCAAGCCTACTAAAGATGAATGCATGGACTAGTTTTTCCAGGTCCTGTTGAGACATCAGATCTTTTATCCTTGATATATTCTTGAGGTGATAGTAAGCTGACTTTGTTATTGTCTTAATGTGTTTTTCTAAGTTTAGGTCTGCATCCATCACTACACCCAAATATCTCACCTGGTTTGTGGTTTTTAGGTGTATAGATTGAAGTTCTCTGGTGACCTGTAATCGTTTTTCTTTGGCACCAAAGACTATTACCTCAGTTTGTTTTTGTTTAGCTGGAGAAAATTGTGGCACAACCAGTCATTGATTTCCTCAATGCATTTACCAAGAGCCTGTACTTTACTTAACAGATGTCTATGCTTCTGATCAGTTGATAGAAAAATCTATTCAATGCTTAAATAAAGGAAAGAGAACTTAAAAAAAATGGTTGAAAAATGCTTTGATTAGAATGCTGATGATTTCCTTTGTTGGCATGACATGTACTTTTAGGGGCAGATCTGTAAGACTTGCCAGTTATATAATCATAATTATTATATTTTTAAAAAATGTTTAAGTTGTTTGACTTTCGCTGCGATGTTTGGACTAAATTTCCCAGGCACACATGTTGTGGTGTAAATTTACTATATATACATTTCTGTAGGTGGAGCTGTTTTCCTTGTCTGTTTTGCAGTGTGCTGGAAATTATGCCATTAACTATAAAGAAGTGACACAGAGATGCAGAATAGCAAATATATCCTCATACATCCTGTGTCCAGGATTTCCAATATAAACATCAAAAGAAATTTGCATTAATGAAACACAAAGTATGACTGATTTATTGTTACATTGACTGTTCTCTCATTTCGGTCCTACTTTTTGAACTTTTTGTTTTGCAAATCACATCTACACATGGTAATAAAAGTAAAACATGACATACACAATGCTATTATTTGATTATCAAAACCAATGCAAAATTCAAAAGCAGCAAACTAAGTGAAAAACCAAGTACAACCATATTGGACCCATAGGAATTAAAAGGGTAATTAGCAGCAATTGATGGTTTTGACCATTCAGGTGTGTGTTAACTCAATACCAAGGAGGAATCTGCAGAGAAATTTCAACCATAAACATCATAAACTCTACAGTTACAATGTTAAAGTTCATGAGTAAAATTGGAAAAAGATTGAAAAAGTATGGCTTGCTTGGAAGTGAGAAAGACATGGCAGCACTGCTCAGCTTTGTGTTGCATCTGGACAAACCACACAACGTCTGGAACAGAAGTGTCCAACTCCAATCCTAGAGAAATACTGTCCTGCAGCTTTTAGATGTATCTTTACTCCAACACAGCTGAATCAAATGATTGGATTACCTCTTCAGCATGCCATCAAGTTAGGAAAAGGCCTGGTAACAAGCTATTCATTTGATTCAGGTGTGACAGAACAAAGATGCATCTAAAAGCTGCAGGACAGTAGCTCTGTAGGACTGGAGTTGGACATCCCTGGTCTAGATCATGTTTAGCCATGATACACAGCGCCACGTTTGGCCAACAACACCTCATATCACATGTCAAGCACGGTGGAGATCTTAAAAATCAAGGTTTCTATATTCACCAAAATAACTGATTATTATTTTTGCCATAATGAAGCAGCCCTGTTTGCCACATGACAACGACTTTCACGTCTCTTCTTCTTAAAACGGATTTAGCAATTACATTGATACATACTAATTAGCTCTTTTCAATGAAGTCATGCACGCACCCCTGCATCTGCCCTCAAAGCTTAACATTTACTTTACATCTGGTAACAGAGCTGCGTTGTGAAATGGTGCACTACCACGCTCATGTCAGTTAAACCTTCTTTTAGCTAATTTGCAGTCATATGGGGGTTTTACGTTGCCTTTCTACCCAGCAGCCATGTAAATTTGTTCTTCCAGAGCTTGCCTTTCTTTTCACAGTTGTCCTTAACTGACGTTTCTTAATGCCATTTTGGAAAGTGGGAATTACAAGCTGGAAGCCATTTGATATCATTTTATAGTTTTCCACTGCTTTGTGGGTGTCAGTTAAAAACATTTTTACACCCTCAGTCAGATGCTTGAAACAGCCCATGGTTTAGTGCTACTAAAAGATTTAAGTAGTTGGAAAACAGAACAGCTTTGCTTTTTAAACAATTATAAAACTAAGATTATTGGGATAAAATGACTTTTTGTGGTTAGTTTTTTTGCTGCAGAGCTCTAGCTTTGTCACAAAAACATCACTCGACCCAATTGGCAGACCTTCCAACTAGCCATACTTCTTCAGTCTTTTTCTAATTGTACTGTCATGAATTTTAACATTTAACATGCTGGCTGAGGTCTGTAGAGTCTGAGATGTAGCTGCTGGGATTTTTGCAGTTTCTTTCCCTCTTGGGAACATTTAGCTTTGTGTTAAGAGATGCTCATACTTGCTGATGATTAGTTCATCAGGTGCATTTGATTAGCACCACCTGGCTGCTGCTTACCTTCTTAATTCCCATGGAAGCAGTTTTCTTGCACATGGTCAGCTTTGGCTAGTACTTACAAGAATATAACATAAAACCGAGTCACAGAATTGCATAGTGCATCTAATGTGCTGATCAAAAGTTGTAAGACGACATCACCGGGTCCTTAATATTTGGCAGGGGTCTCGAACTCCAGACCTCGAGGGCCGGTGGCCTGCAGGTTTTAGATGTGTCCTTGATCCAACACAGCAGATTTAAATGGCTAAGTTACCTCCTCAACATGTCTTGAAGGCCTGTTAATGAACTAATCATTTGATTCAGGTGTGTTGACCCAGGGTGAGATCTAAAACTGCAGGACACCGGCCCCTCGAGGCCTGGAGTTCGAGACCCCTGATATTTGGGATTAATGCTGGGGTCAGTCAGGCAGTTACACACTACTACTGTGAATCCCGGGCCTGCTTGGATACTCCTTCAGTGCATGATCTCAGCAGGAAAGAGAAAATAACATCAACAGTGTTATTTAGTGTAGAGGGAGAGAGGGAGTTGGAGAGAGAAAGAGAGATTAGAAAAGTGGAGCTAACAGAGGCAAATGGAGAGAGCACATCTGTCAGTGGCTGGAGATCATGGCAGGCTGGAAACACTAAGGAGCTTACAGCCGTAATCACAATGGGACACTATGGTCGTAGTGCAGTGTGGCATTACATAAATGTGCCACTGTTATCCACCATCAGCTCCACTGGACAGTCTGGGCTGATATTTACTGCAGCCAACAACGTTACGTATTTTAACATTTTTTGCTCTTTTCTGTGGTTTTTCGTAGGTTTCTTGTAGACATATCTGAAATCCCCCAAACCAGTGACATCACCATGAACTGTGGGACTCTCGATCTTGCACGTAAAGCTGCTTTTCTAAATTCCTGAAGAGCAGTTTTTTGCAGATTCAAGGTTTTCCACAGACAATGGCGACGTGTTCTTTCTCCACACTGTTCAAGGGGAGGAGAAAAAACAAAACAAAATCATAATCTGCCTAAAACATGCACAGACAGGGTCCGCGTGTAAACGGCTGGTCTATTGTGCGCAGGCTTTAAAAGAGCGAGGGCTGGATTCAGAGGAAGGGAGAGAGAACAGAGGAGGAGGATGAAGGGAGGAGGAGGACATGAAGCGGAGGGGGGGGGTGTCAGAGCAGTTTGCTTGCTGTTGCACTGGTGTGCTGTCAAAGGCATTACCCCCCCACCTCCACCCACGCCCATCTACCCACCTGCCCGCCCGCCACCAGCCATACCTCACACGGAGTGACACACTTTTTCCTCAGCTCAGAGCACCTCGGCTCGGCTCAGCCACACACCGCCTGCAGTCTACTGCTGTGTGTGTGGGCGAGCGTGTGTGTCCTTCAGCAAACTCTGCGCTGTCCTTCAAGCAAATCTGTCCGGACTGTCCTCGCACTAAACTCACGTCCCTCCCCACTGCATCGCAGACACATTTTGCTGGACAGACTGGCAAAGTTTTCAGCTCACTTTACAGTACCTCACAATTCACACAGCAAATATAGATTTTTTTTTTAAATTTTTTTTATGAGTTTTATCAGTCTTATCCATCATGCTCACCCATGAGGGAGGCATGTGATTGATCCCAGCTTCGCAATCAGAGTCTCAAAGAGCCACAAAAGCCCCAAAAAGAACAAGAAGTCGACTGAGTCGACTGTAACAGATGGTATGGCTTCTACAGAGCACTGATCTCCACATCACAGAGTCAGCTGGGGATTACGCAAAGAGATCGAAGACAAAGAGACAGTTCTGCGCGATGCTTCGAACAGCCCAATCTCCATGTAGCTTATTGTTTCACCAAAAATTGATTCAACTTGGGTGTTTTTCCTCGTCCCTCTGCCACATATTCATCCCAGCTAACATCCTTCAGAGGTTAATGTGTTTATGTGTGTATGCAGATCAAGGAGGCAGAGGCTCTGTCCCAGAGTGTGGTGTCTATGGGGGAGGAAGCAGGAGAATTTCTGCCTAAAGCCTACCTGGCTCTGGGACTCTGCTGCAGTCTGCAGGCCTCTGATGGTAAATCTAACCACACAATCTGAAGAAATATATGGAGAACATCCTATCCAAAATAAAAACAATACCACTGGTCATTTGTTTGGAATTCCCTGAGAAAAGCAGCAGTTTGTGGTCATGCAAAGAAGAAGGCAGCCAGCTACAGAACCTTGTAATGAGTTCAGGGCTGATGTTGGGTTCACTTGATTTCCAATGGACACAGTTTAAATTGTGTCCACTGCCAGCAGGAAATAGCTTAGTCGACAAGTGTTAACTAGATCTTACTGTCTATGGGACTTTTTATTCTGGGTCTGTGAGAGTAGCATTGCCTGATTCAATAATTCATGTTTGCCTTATATTAGACTGGACCTTTATAAAACCTGTCAGTTCATCCACTCTCTGAAACAAGTTTATTTCCTGGTATTCTTTTTTCAAACTGCTCCCCAAAAAAGGAACCGAGCAACAAGTGTAGGGAAACTATGTCCATAGCCAGAGCTTTGCCCTGAGCTTAGTGAATTATCTGCTCTCATTGACCTCATACGAAATGGAGCGTTGGAGCAATCTAAAACCTGAGCGTCAGTCAGCATAATGCAAAACTGTAAGTGAAGTGTAGGTGAAGGCAGCTAGCTAGAAAACCTTGCGATGAATTTGAGCTGTTCCATAGGACACAATTTACCGTATTTTTCTGACCATAAGGCGAACCGGATTATAAGGCGCATTAAGCGAAACAAAACAGTCAGATAAGTCAAACTTTACTCAACTCATTCTTCTTGCTTCCTCCTCTTCTGTACCATTGATCCATTAATGTAGAATTATCTCACAGCTGCTCTATTCCCATGTTGTTGCTGTATATTAATGACTAACCTCGTATTGTGGATGGATTATCTCATTTGTTCTCCCGACTGAAGTTTGATCTGTTTACAGCATCCTGCCACGTTAACTTTTATTGTGATAGCAGAGCTGTAAGTTTTAATGTTTCAGAAATCTCTCAGTCAGAACATGGTATATTATATTAAGGTAAAAAATAGCGAGCTAACTTTCTGCTAACTCCGTAAAATTTCAGAATTTCCGGTTTCATGGATGCCTGGATGTTAAACTGGTTAAGCAGCAACGCTGATCATTTTATTAAAGATGAAAGAAATTAGACAGTTTTTAACTCTCAGTGTACCGCAGTGTTTGTTTGACTTTGGGACCTGAATATGACGGAGTTTTGGACCCAGATTACTCCTCGAGGCTCCTGACTACGGCAGCCGTAATGCTCCGGCAAGCCATCAGGCGGTGCGGCTTCGTAGCTTACCAAAGTCGTACTAAAACATTATTTGACTAAAACAGATTTTTGAGCACCGTGTACCACATAAAATTGGTTCAAGGCCAGTAAGCACAACCAGAATTCATACATGCGGTGCACCGGATTATAAGGCGCACTGTCGATTTTGAGAAAATTAAAGGATTTTAAGTGCGCTTTATTAGTCCGAAAAATACGGTAGGTCTCATTTCTGGCTAATAGGAAATAGTTTAGTCAACATCAACAATGATGGACTGTCTAAGCTACTTGTCAAGACACAGGCCTTCATATAACTGCCCCTGATTCCAACTCTTGTTTTAACTTGTTTGAACCGTAGTCCATCATCAGCTTTTATTTTTATCTGAAATTGTAAATTTCCCATTTTTCCTGCAGCTTCTCTGACCACAGACCGAAACGACTTCAACAAAAAGGCACTAAATGCTTTGAAAAAGTAAGTCAGGCTTGTTTCATTCTCTATCACGTGTTTCAGCCACGCAAGCGAGCCACACAGTTCAACAGTCCACCCTCACTGAGCTATTTGTCTTCCCTCTACAGAGCTCATTCACTGGACCCTCAGGATGCGCAGATTGCCATGTACCTGGCTCTGCAGCTGGCCATCGTACGCCAGGTAAAAGCAAGCCAATGGAATCAATACTGAAGCATATTTTTTTGTTTTTTTTTGACAAACTTGTTTTTTTTCTTTTTCTTTTTGACAAATTTGGTGTTTATCTGGCAGGTATCAGCAGCTATGGAGCCCCTTCAGGCAGCTTTATCTCTCTGTGGGGATGACTTACACTCCCTCCACCTGCTCACCCTGCTGCTCAGTGCCCAGAAACACCACCGTCATGCTCTGGACACCCTTACTTTGGCCCTCGGCCAGCACCCTGACAACTTCAAGTAAAACCTACTATGCCATCCCACACACACACATGCACACACGTACGCAACAGAAAATGTTGGTGGACTGAGGATAATTCAATCGATCGCTGCACTTCTAACACTTTGTAGATTGTTTTTTAAGTGTGTGTGTAAGAGAGCTCCAGAGAGCGGTGCAGCCAGGTTCTATCCTAACACCAGTCCTCTCCGTAGGGATAGGGTGTCTGCTCCGCTACACAAAAGGCCAAGCACACACCACACACACACACACACACACACACTTGAAGCCTTATTTAGACGTGCCAGAGTGGAAGTCTGCATTGCGGTACCGATGCCCCTCATACACCCTTACCCTTTTAACACTGCAGCTCTGACCCAGACCTAAGCACTGCTGTCCTGGCTGAGCTAAGACATCCTAACACATAAACCCACCTGTCCGCTACGCTAAGCACACACACTTTGACAATTAAAGTGAACTCATTTTGGGCATGGAGGAAAGTAGTGATGTGAAAGGACATGTTGCAGGTTTAAGGGCTTGAACCTTTGACCTTTGGCTTCAGGGCTGGTATTACTAACCATTTCTTCACCTTTGTGCAGAATCATATTCGACCAAGACTTTTAAAGTATACCAGAGTTAATAGATAAAGTATTGTAGTAGGCAAAGTACGCAAGATCATAAGTATGAGAAAGTGATAAGAACGATTTTTAATTAGAATCCGGTTTGATTTGAAGCAGGTTGGTTGCAGCATGAGCCCATAGCTCTAGTTTCTTTCCTAACAGTATTTCACTCACATAATTCTAGTCATCCGGCACAAAAACATCTAAAAAAAACAAAAAACATGCTCATTAGCAGTGGGAAAAGCTCTATTGTATCTGACACTGACAACATTAACTATCAAGGCCAATTATTTCACACTAACAATAATTTGGAAGCATGTTGCATCATCTTTCTGATGTGTTTTCTTTCTATCTCAAAGCCCAGTCAAGCATTACAGAGTACAGCCATTTGGGGTCAGTGTTGGCCTCCACGGTCGCAGAGCAGACAGATGGGGTGCATCCATAGATCAGGAGGGAGAGGAAATGCAGACAAGAAAAAAAACAACAAAACTGATCAAACAGCGAAAGGAAGGAAGGACACGAGAGCCTGACAGAAGGAGAAAAACACAGAGTGGGAAAATCCAGGAAAGACACTGTTGATTACAGAACTGATTTACCGATCTGTGCTGTAGGTACAGTCGGTAGCTCGCATTCGTTCTCCCACTGTCTCGATGCACAATCACACACTCTTAGACACACACACCTCCTTCGCAGAGACACTTGACTGCTTTGACCCATTTAAGAGCTCTTTTCCGGGCTCAGCCAATCACATCACTCTCTGCGCCAGGAATCCCCATCGCCCCGGTAACCATGAGGTCATATGGATAGAGCAGGCAGCATCGTTGTTGTTTCCAAACTGTTGTTACAGATCACTACCAAGACACTGAGTCAGAAAAAAAGGAAAGAAAGAAGGAAACATATCTTTTTGTTGGTAGTTTCCTGAAAGGAACAAATGAACCATTAATCGAGGTTTGCCAGATGTATTATTTGTTATTACCTGTAATAATAATTTACTGTCAAGTCAGTAACACATTGAAACTAAGCCATCAGATTAGTGGAGAGAGAGGCACACAGTAGCGATGTGAATAGGCTGGCTCTAGTTGCTTAAGCCCAAACTATTAGCCAATCAATAATCATGAAGTGCATAATAGCATTAAAAACATTATAGCTAAAGTGATAGCTGGTCTAAGTTGGATTACAAAGATAAAGTTATGAGCAGGGCACTGGTGAATATTTTTTTTTTGCATTAGCTTTATACTGAAAGATTTTCTAGTGTCAGTCAGTGTTGCCAACTTGGCGACTTTGTCGCTATATTTAGCTAGTTTTCAGACCCCTGAGTGACTTTTCTTCTAAAAAAAGTCGCTAAAAAAAGACGTGAAAGTGCGTATCAACAAGCTGTAATGCAGTCAGTTCTTCTTTTACTCTTATGCTGTTTTGTGGATCACAAGGTTTAAAACTACTTATAAACACACACAAAGTAACTCCACCAGAGTGCCTATTTCGGGTCACTTTTGCCGGTCCAAGCCCAGGTAAAGGAGCAGGGTTGGAATTGTGACATTAAAAAAACAACAATTGCTAAAAGAAATTTAATTTGTAGTTCTAAATAAACTCTAAATGCATTTAGGACATTTTTTACTCCCTTTATGTCTCTTCCACGATGTTATTTCTCTCTCCAACAACATAGGTTACAATTAGATTAGCATGACCAATTATGCAAATTAGGCGATGACGTCATTTAGCGACTTCTAGCGACTTTTAGGACAACCAATAGCAATTTTCCTTACTGAGGAGTTGGCAACACTGGTGTCAGTGTGTTCCCTTCTGCATCTCCCTCAGCTGCTCTCTTAGCAGCTGTTTTAGCAGTAGCAGCTAGCAGCTGATTAGCTTCTTGATATCCTCTTTCTTATCCTATTTTTATTTGCAGTAACTGTTTTTAGGTTTTTTTAAGTGATGTATGTGAAGCCAGTCAGATGAAGTGGAGCATTTTGGCAGCTTATGATGAAGTAGGTGGAGACCAAAAAAAGAGCCAAAAGAAGAGTCACCAGAAGTGCAACTCAAAATGCTAGTTGCTAGCTGCTAGTATCTGCCTCAATCGGTTCATTTTAACTATTCAAAATTGAATCTATGAAATAATGACAACCTTGTAATTCCCCTTTTCCTTCTTTTCACTTTCTTTCTCACCCTTAGCCAGCCAGCCTTTACATAATAAATTAGTGAGGAAAGCCAGATAAATTTAGTTTCAGTGCTAGCTATATAGCTAGCAAGTTGTAACCTGGTGGTGTTATTGAGTTGTGTGGATATGTACAGGCAAGAATAGCTTTTCCTAAAAAATTAACTAAATTTCTATGCAGATGACACTGTTGTGTGACTGTGTGGCAGCAGCTTTTTAGCTCACTGACTGAGCCATCTAAGGTTTTTCATAGGCACACCAGTGTTAAATCTCAAATTTATATAGTAATGCATCAATGTCTCCACCTGAACCTACAGAGTATGCTTGTTTCCATACTGTCATGCAGACAGAGAGGAATAGTCAAATATTATGACGGCCTTTTGCAAACACTGTATCACTGAACTTGCAATGCAATGCAACCAGCCACTGCAAACAGAAACATGGTCCTAAATCCATCCTAGAACATTCTGGACCATCTGGACTGAGGCCCATTTTCAGACCTCAAAGTCAGAGAATAAAAGATCCAAAAGACTTGGTGTGAAAGGATGTGTTTTCTCAGTAACGAGCTCATTGAATATCATTTGCTTTGAAAACGTGAGCGAGCATCTGAGATCAAAGCTCGCATTCCGCGACAGTCGTGCATGTGTGTGTTTTGTGTGTGTACTTGTCTGCTGTGGAGGGGGCGAAGAGGATGCGACCGTGTGTTTGAGATCGTAATCTTGCTCACGCATGTTTGTGTGTCACTGCATGTGTGCATGCATGTGTGTGATTCTTGTTTGCCACTGCCTCTCTGCACCACAGCAAACTGTCAGCTCACTGTAGCATACACAATTTCTCCTTCCTCCTTTTTCTCCCACATCCTCTACCCCCGGCTTCTGCCGTCTTCTGTCTCTCCGTCTCATCCTATCTCCTTCTTCCTTTCTCTTCCTTTTCTTGTCTCTCTTTTTTTTTATCTTTCAGTCTCCATTTCTCCCTTTTCTTTGAAATTTTAATCACTCAGTAAAGAGGCATGCATTTCAATGTGAAATGGGATTCTGCTACAGATTGAGAGAGCTGAGGCAATACAGGGACGAGGGGGAGGGTTGCATGTGTGCATGTGTGTGTATGAGAGGGAGAGAGAGGAGTAGAGACAGTGATTGTGGTCTCACAGTTTGTACTAAAGAGAATGATTAATCCCAGCCTTTGATTCTGCATTCATCTAACGGGATGTTGCAGCAGGAGCGTGTACTGCTACATGTGTGTGTGTGTGTGTGATTCTGCACAAGCATGTGTTAGCCTGCACATGCAGGCCTGGATTACTATGTGCTCTGAGCAAGCATGGGTCTTGCGTGTTATTCTCTATGGATGTGCATACTGTATAACTGTATACTCATTATATACTCGAGTGTGACGCACACGTGCACTTTTCTGTGTGTGTGCGTGCACCCATCTGCCTGTAGAGTATCCGCACTCTGATCTGTGGGAGTGCAAAATGAGTAATACTGTACATGTACCACTTTTTCTAAGGAACATTATTAGCTATTTTTATATGGAGTTTACGCTGGTGCTCACCGCTCTTAGCCAGCCACCACTGAGCTCTTACTCTGAGCTACACTACTCACTGCTATGCATCCTCAAACACTCCACTCTGCACACACCAGGCTCACTCCCAGAAGGCTGGAAATGACAGCCTTTGTAATTTCATGTGCAGTTTTGAATGTTGTAATCTTGATGAAATCTGTCTGTTGTGGAGCTGTGAGGGAGAGCACTGATTGTAATAGAGGAAAAGGCTCTATCCTTGGATGACTTAGATCAGTTGATATTTCTTTTTTATGTTCACAGTGAATTAATCGTGCAAAAACACGCTGTAGAATGAATATATGACTTTACTGTGCTATATTTTCAACAAACTTGTTTTTTTTATTTTTATACCTTCTAATATGCCATATTAGAAGCCCTATATCAGTGACGGTGACATCTTTTCCTAATTTTACCAATTTCATATGCCGATGTTCCTGTTTTCTGATTGCTACAAGAATAAAAATGTCTTGAATGCAAACATAAGTCTTTTTCAACCTTTCCGTTGTAACAGTTTGCTTCACTTTGCTGTTTTTCAGATGACGTTCATCATGTTTGATGCTACTGAAGCCTTTCACTAACCGAAAGGGCAAAACACATCCCTTTTTAAGCTTTTAATCTGAAAGTATATTCCAGCTGCTTTTACTTTTACCAACAAGTAAAAGATATTGGAATTAACTAGTAAATGATGACAATATTTGTACATAAAAGATGCAAGTAATGAAATTAATTGAGCTTTTCCCATCATTTTAGCTCCAGTTTTTATCAAAAGTAGTGCAGCCTAGTGAAATTTAGCACTACAAACATTATTCAAAAGCCTTTCAACACTTTCCAGAGGTCCGAAAACTCGCGTTTGATTATTTGTTACAGTATCAGAATATAGTTAGAAACTGGCATCTAGGGAATGATGATGGTCTAATCTAGCCATGAAGCCTACAGGTAGATGCCGGGGTGGTGGATGGGTTGAAAGAGCAAGCAGCAATGCAGGGCAGTAGTGGCAGCATTGACATATCAGCGGGAAATATGGGAAATTTACAATTAAATAGACCAGCAAATCGGGATGGTGTGTTTGCCATATTGCATGAGGGGAGCGAGGCGTGTAATTCACCATCCGCTGTCTCCCAAAAATATTTTTTTGATGCAACATTGCACCTAACAATGTCTGCAAAAGGCTCACATATAGTGGGAACTCAAGAGCTGAACTCATAGTGTTTATGCAGAGGAACACTTGAAGCTCTACAAATAAGATTTAGTTGATAGAAAATGACAACCATCTTCTTGAAGATGTTTGTTGTTGTGGGTGGCTATGGCTCCAGAGGTGGAGCAGGGTATCTACTAGTTTGAGGGTTGCTGGTTTAATTCCTGGTTGTTCTAGTCTGCATGCCAAAGTATTCCTGAAGAAGATACTGAACTCTGAGTTGCTCCTGATGAAATCATCAGAGAAAACACTTAAATATAGGGGAAAATTCTTGGGTTAATGACACATGTTGTATAAAGCACTTTAGGCGCTTCAGTACAATGGAAAAGCGTTATATTGAGGTGAGCCAGTCCTTTGAATATTCTAAAAGATGCAGGATATTAAAGCAGCAAGAGACATTTCTTTTTAGTTTTATAGTTTTATCGTTCATTGGATTATATTGTATCCATGTTTTCATGTTGTTTAGGCCAAATTGTGACGCTACCATCATAATGTTGCAACAGAGCAACATTTTTCCAGTCCTCTGTGGTCCAGTTTAGGTGAGCCTATGTATATTGTAGCCTCAGCTGACAGGAGAGGTACCCGCTGTGGTCTTCTGCTGCTGTAGCTTGTCTGCTTTAAGGTTTCATCTCTTGTGTGTTCAGAGATGGATGCCTTGGTTGTGGCGATTGGTTGTTTGAGCCCCTGTTTCCATCCTATTAGGTTGAAGCACTCTGGCCAATCTTCCCTTGGATCTCTGGTATCAACAAGGCATTTTCACCATTCCCTGCAAAGCTTAGAGATGGTTATGCGGGAAAATCCAAACAGATCAGCAGTTCCTGAAATACTCAGACCTGCCCGTCTGGCACCAACACTTAAATCACCTTTGGCTGATTAGAGAGTGATCAGTGAGTGTGCACAATATACAATAACTTGAACTTCATTAAATTAAACAAGGGATTCAGAACAACAGGGTATCTTTGCTGATTTCAAAGCACTTTTTTAGTTATGTAGCTCCATTAACCATATTAATGGCCTCCTATGAACTCCAGTTTTCTTTCAGTTTCAGAAGAAACTTGCAAATTTATTTCTTTGCAAGCTCTTATTTTGAAATTACCATGAAGGAGTGGGTTTCATTAATGACAAATTGAAACTGACTGGAAGAAAAAAGCAAGATTACTGTAATTTATCTGTGAATGAGTATGAAATTTATATTATTTGTTGTACAAACATTACACAATATAAGTTTTACATGCTCATTTGAAACTCAGCAGCTTTATTAGAAAATAATTACAAACTTTCAGGTTACACGGTTCTTTGTTCACGTGAGATACACCCACACACACACACTTTGTCACATCTTAACACTTAGATGGGTTTACATCATCACAAAGCTTCTAAACGCTTTGTCACACCGGTAACGGGGAGTCTAGAGAGATGCACACAACCACACGTACACACTCTGGTGGACTCCTACTGGCAGGCGTATCCTTAACTCAGCGTCCCTCGGCAGCACTTGTCATCTGCATGTCAGCAAATCCAACCCCGTTCCTCCCACACTCGTACATTTTTTTCTTTTCAAAAATCCCTCCATCATTGCTTCACACCCTCCGCACACACTCCCTTCTCCCAGCCGTGCACCGACCCGTGAGTCAGTAACGAGGCGCATTTCAACAAGAGTTTTCTCCCCTGACACGAACTCCTTTCGCTCAGCCATTGATCCTCACCTTCCCTCCATCACTTCATCCATCTCTTCTTCATCCCACCGCCTCCCCCCTCCAGACTCCCTCCCTCCCCCTTGACAGGAGAGCACAGAATAATTGGAGGAGCCTTCAACAGAGGCAGTGGACAGCTTGGCGTCAGATGTTGCAAACACCATAGTCTCTCTGCCTCTTTCCCTCTCTCCCTCCTCACACTCATGGATGAGTGATGCCCATGACAGACCCCATCCTCTGAGAGCCCCTTCTGGCAATTACTACACACACAATGGCAAACACACACAAACACACACACACAAACACACAGACATACAGACTTTCACATCAGAGACTCCCACATCACTTAACCAGTTGTCTTCAACTAAAAGGGCCGAGCGGAAACACTCTACAGCCTCCTCTCATCAGCCTCTCAACACACACACAACTCTTAAAGGTTGTTGTTGATGACTATCTTTACTGTCTCTGCTTCTGTTGATCCATATGTGCATTATTCTACATGCAATATGTTTATGGGCTCTAAGCTCCCAGGTACTGCACTAGCACAAACACACATGCTTGCATGCAAATTTATGTCTTGTGATGTGTTTTCTAACTCTTGTAACCAAATAAGGTTAAAGTCTGTTGCAGGGGATAATAGCTGGTAGCTTTTACATCCCCTCCAATCTTTTATGTAACAATAAGAACTGTTCAAGGCTTTCAATCTCATGCACTCAGTTTACAGATTAACGTGCATATTAGTTAATCTTATATGAACAGATGTTCTGGTTATAAAAACAAAACAAAACAGTTCAAATTTAAACAAAAATGCATTGTGGCTTTTTCTTGTTCCAGTTTGCTGTTCACAAAGGTAAAGCTTGAAGAGGTGCTGCTCGGCCCGGCTGCAGCCCTGCATACCTGTGAGGAGATGTTGCAGCACTGGCAGAGCCGCTATGATGTCAGCCGCTCCAGGTGAGCATGCACAAGAGAGATAAGCATTGGCGCTACTTTGTTTATCGTGCGCTGCAAAATGTGCATTACCGTTTAGCTCAAATAGTTTCTGTGCTGTTGTGCACGATGAGGCTGGGAGGGGGCGGCTGTCTCTGCTACGGTGTTATTCAGTGTGTGTGTGTGTGTGTGTTCACGCATTAATGCTTTTTCTGATATAATGTTCTACCTGTGACCTGAGTGCTTTTGAGATGTTGACCTTTTTCATGTTTTGAATACCAGAACTGACATACAGCAAAGCTCATTATTACCCTTCATAATAACTGAACACTAAAGGCACTACCAAAACCAATACAAAAATACAAATATTAAAAAAAACAAATGCAAAAATTATATTTATTTATAAATGAAGGCTGGTAGAACGATTACAGACAAAAATTTGCATTGAATTTGTATTTTCTTTGTAAAAATTTCCCATCTAACTCTTTATTTTCACATAGTTCCTGAAGGAGCTAGGAGGATGAACAACAAATATACTCTTTGACCATTTCTTAATCAGAGTTTAGCATGAAGTCAGTTAAACATCTGGGATATTGATCTGGTCAGTTTGGCAGCAGAAGGGGTTCTCAATCAGTTTTAGCTCCTTCATGCCATTGCTCAAGAGCTCTCTCTTGGTGGTGGGTCAGTGAAGGTCTGTAGAAGCGTATCTGAGGAGAGACACACAGGCCTTACAGGGTAGGCATCAGCACCCTGACTGCCATTAGGTATTGGGTTAAAATTCTGGTATGGTGGGTCCTGTGTTTCTTTTGGTGCACAGCAATTCCTGGACTCATGTGACGAGAGTATGCAGGCAGCTCCTGGAGCATGAAGGAATTGATACCAACGACTGTCTCGTGCTCGCCTGACCAACATTTGGACAAAAAGTGGTGCACTAAGTTAAAGCATCAGCTAATGCTAGCTAGTTTGCTAAGCCAGGTACCTCCATAGACTCTATTTATGTATTACACAAACAAAATTATACCTAATAATAAATACTAAATGTTGACACATTAGAATTTCACTGACCAGAACACAAGAAAAAATAATTTAGATGGTCCATACCTCACATCAGGTGATAATCATTGCATCCAGTACATTGGAGAGGGCCACTTCAATGACTCAAAGTAGCTGATGACTGACTCTCGGGCATAGCTTCCACACTAAACTCCTTGTAGATGTGTGTGGGTAACACCAGTAGGTATTTTTTTGAAATCTCTATTTAAATTAGAATAAAGCTCATTTTAATAACTCCAGGTTTTAAAAAAACTACATCTACTGACTCACCACTTGAATCTGATTAAAAACGGCTTCACATTTTATGACTTTTTCCAGAAATAAGGTTTCAAATATCTTTTCCCCCTGAATGTTGTGCATTTACTATGCATCCACAAAGCTGAGGCTTCACTAATGGCTCAGTCAAGTGGTTCTTGAATAAATGGCATGCTGGAACTTCAGGAAGTGCAGTTTCTGCTACAGTAACAAGTATAATGCTCGACATCACACTGGTTACACTGTGAACCTCTGCATGGAAGCATGCATTAGTGTTGCTACACAGTAGAGCTGGGCGATATGAGATTTTTTCATATCACGATATGTTTTTTTCATTTCAGGCGATAACGATATCTATCACGATATAAGCCAAATAACTATATTTGTAAGATTTAAATGTGCCGTTGCTCACAAGTAAAATCTGAAATAATCAGCAGCTTGTTTTTATTTAAATATTTATTTCCCATAATAAGTTCAACAGAGTAGATGTAATTAAGGAACATGAGACTTTTTCAGATAAATAAAGGCAAATATTGCAAACTACACAAAAGGCAGCCGCTAAAGCGTTTAAGTTTCAAAATAGAACAAACGAAACAGACTAAATTGTCAATTCCACTTAGAAACAAAATATTAATTCTAAAAATAAATCTTAGTTTGTTTTACAGAAGAACAGACAAAACTGACTAACTTTTGTCAATATCAAATAAACTGAGAACTAAAAGGAAATTCTCAATCTCTCCTTGTTGTATAGCTGAGCTTTTCAAACAGTTTTAACAGTTACTTTAGTCTGACAAAAGCCGAATGACCAATTAGCGCTTCCAGTCAGAGACTGAGCATGCACCGGTTTATTGTATTTCCAGACTTGCTTTCAGCACAATTTACAGTGCGCGCTACTCTGTTTGACTTGAAATAGCCGAAATACCTTCACACTACGGAGCTTCTATGGCTCTTCCATTCGACAATCTCTCCAGCATTGGAACCATCATCTGTTTTCTCTTCGGTCACGCTCGGTTGATTTTTCTAGTCGGCACACTCATTTCCTCCGTTACCCGGGCGGCACGGCGGCTGGCTGCTTCCCAAACAAATACACATGTGCGGCTTGGCACTTGTGCTGTACGTAACAAGTCACGTGACGTGACGCTGCGGCTGTGATTGGTTCGGCTCTGCGCTACTTAATTTGGATTGGCTGTTCTTTTTTTTTTTCTTTTTTTTAAGAGGACAAGAGGAGTGAGGCCTATCGCAATAGTTTAATTTTTCTATCGAGAAAAATTTATTTCGCAATACATATCGTTATCGTTCTATCGCCCAGCTCTACTACACAGTTAGCTCGCTAGCTCATGTTTCATTGGCTTTTTTCTTTGACCTCTCCTTCTAACTTGATACAGAGAAAAGATGCAGGAGGAAAGAACTGAGGAAGCTAATAAACTTTAATGTGCAATTTTTGAGACTGCATTTATTAAGGAAAAATGTTGTACAAATATGTATTTTTAAAAATGGACAAATACTTTTCAGAACAATGTAATTTAAGCTAGCCTAGCCATTTCAAAATGTTTAAGAATATCTATCTATCGATCTATCGATCTATCTGTTGACCATTTCCTGGCTTATTTTTCCTTTATGCTGCCTTCATGTTAAAAGTGAGTCATTGATACTTTTTAGCTTCAGCATAACCTTTAGCATAGCAAAATGCTAAAAGCAGAAGGAGGACCTGGCTATCGCACACCTTTGCTTTTCCTTTTCATTATTAGCAAGCGAGCTGTAATACACAAATTATGTCTATTAAAGCCAATTTATTTAAGATGGACTTGATCTTTAATTTCAGTCACAGGTGGAATCTCACGGATAAAAACAAAAACAGTACATGTGAATGTCCTCTCTGATGTGTTACAGCGAGACAGATGACAGCAGCAGTATACCGATGCCTGAGAGGACAGAGGTCAGCCCCAGCGGCAGGAAACCCTCCATCCACCTCACCCTGCCTGACTTCCAGGACACCTCCACTGGTCTGTTCTCTCGCTTGCTCAAATCTTTTAGAAACGACATGTCACTGTGCATATTTGGATTGTAACATGCCGAATTGATTAGTTTAAGTTAAACACATCCTGCTCTCTCTATGGCTTTGGGTAAATAGCAGTGAGAAAGGTGAATTTGTAGGTCAGTCTAAATCCCCCAGCTTTTGACCTATTCTGGATTAAAAGCCCTGTTTGCTTGTCTGCAACCCAGTTCCGGAAACCAGATGTGCTGTTTAAATATCAATGATGTGACTCACACCTGTGTTTAGAGCAGGATCTGCAACCTGCACATTTAGTGTTCAGGGATTCAGGACATTATAGTTACTGGCTTTGAAATATTTTACTTTTTTTTCTCTACGGAAGAAAACACAGTTTCTGTCTGCTTCTCATCAATGCTAACATATGCATATTCATTGTTCAGGTTGTAAATCACCACTTTAGTGTTTAGTTGGTTTAATGTGCAAGATGAGGAAACATTTGCAGCACTAACAGCTCCCATTTCTTACCTATGATCCTGCTTCAGGTTCACAGAGTCCTTCGTCAGTTGCACTATCCCGTCTTGAAGCGGCTCTGTCCGAGGTGTCAGACCTCAGCTCTACCCGTCGCCATGGGCCCACCTATATTTGGACCATCCTGGAACGCATTTGGCTGCAGGCTGGTATGAGAGCGCACACTTGAATGAAAATGATATTTCAGGAATTATTGTGGTTGGGATCTTTTGGGATTTGAACCTCTTTTCATCCTCATCCGAGATACAAGGTCAGCCCATATCGTGAAACCATGTTGGGGTCCATGAGCTTTAACTTACTGGTGAACTAAAAATGAAATAAAGACAAAGCTTGCATTAACTTTGCTGGACAAATGAATCAGATTCAATGTTTTATCCTAGTGATCTGAAGCCCAACAGTAAGAAACCATGTTAGTCATCCAGTTTTTTTTTAAATAAAAGCTATGAAGTAGACAACGAGGCCACAGCTCAGCAAAGCATGACAGTGTTTTCATGAGCAGCACCCGTCTGCTAAAACACCATGCTAACACGTTAGCTGATAGATTACCTTGTTCACACTGCTGGTTCAGTATACTGGCATGCTAATGTTTATCAGTAAGCACTAAAGCCAGTCTGCAGTTCATGTAAAAAGATTGCAAAAAGATTGTGACTCGAGTCACTAAAGCCCCTTTTCCATTAGTACCTACTCACCCAATGAGAGTGGTTGTTGTTATAGTAATGTGTCCGAGCGTCCCGTGACGTAATTAGCATGATCCACGAACGCTTAAACAAAGGTGGATGTCGACGCAACAGTATACCTGCTGGTTGGTCTGTAGCTTTTCGTCAGACTCGGGGACCACGGCGTTGTTGGTGGTTTTGATTTTCGTGAAGGAGACGCTCTCATGGCTCACTGAGTGATTCCCCGACCAGCCAATTGTTGGCATGCAGTCTGATGATGTCACATTTTAGTACCTGCTCAGATCGCTTATAACCCCGGCCGAGCAGGTACTATTTTAGTATCTGGTACCAGGTACTGTTATCTAATGGAACACCCTTAAACCGTAGTGAACCGTGCCGAGTCAATCCGAGTGGGTACTAATGGAAAAGGGGCTTTTAAGCAAAATGAATGACTGAAGCAAATTACTGGTAAACTGTTTGATAGTTATTGAAAACCTAAAACTTACATTGTTGACTTCATGCTGAGGCAAATATTAGGGGACCTTCAAAGTAAGTAGTCTTCATCCTGTGGCAACCATAAAAAATTCTGTGGTAGTCCTTTCAGTGAACTTCGACCAATGTCATAGATCTGCCTCGCTTTCTGTACATGATATTGACAACAGAGAGCGATCACATCCACGTCGAACGTGTGGAGATTTTAGTTCCTTTATGCTACTATACACTGTAAAAGGAGCATTTGAGTTGTAGTTCACATAATGTAGTGTTATAAATAATTGTCCATGATGCTCTGTTAATTTAGAGCAGCTTGTGGCATAAATCATACAGTGTGTGGCAGTCTAAGAAGTTATCTAAGCACTGTGCATAGGTCTTTCTGGTGATGTCACAGAGCAGTACCAGTACCTGATACCACAACAGGGCATACTTTTCAAAATAAAACAGGAAGTAACTGGAAATGGCAACTGAGTTAACTCACTCAGACACCAGATGCAAATGTGTCTTTACAGTAATTGCCTCAATAGCTATTGAAACATTCGACTATGTGTCAGTGATGCCCTCACCAAAGAAATCCAGGTAACCCTACAGTAAATACAAATACAATCTCCGCTGGCACCTTTTAATGAATGTGCGATGTTGCAGTGAATGAAAGCTGTGCAGCCTCGCTGTCTTCCAACGCCTTGCTGACCTGTTTATCAGCTCAGATGAGTTTCAGTCGCTCAAGGGAGTGAGACACTGTGCGTTCGGTTCATTGTGAGCGTGCGTTTTTGTTTCGGGCACAACAGTCACTGAAATTCTCAGAGAATATTAATTTTGCTACATGCGAAACCCTTGAGAACGCAGCGTTACAGTATAGCAGATTTTTGGAAGAGAATATCTATTTGCAGGCTTGTTGGTGTTTAAAATGAAATAGCTGAATAGTTGACACTGACGTGTCTCAGTGCTTAAATACATTTGGCCACTGCTCTGTTAAGGAGACAATGCTCAGTTATCCACATTGCTGTTGCCTCCACCCTTCTTCAGTCTACCTGAGGAAGTTCACATAAAAGAGCAGAGCATGAGCAGGAAATGAAGGCCGAGGATCTGTTGCACTTGGCTTGAGTGGATGAGCCATGAGAGGCAAGAATGGAAATGCACACAGCGAAGATGCCTTTGCTGTATTCGATGCTTTACGACACAAGAGGGGTTGAATGGAGCCAAGCGGTCACGTCCCCCGTGGCTTTGTGTAATCTGAAGGTTATTTTCTATGTGTAACCTCTGAGCCTCTGCTATTCATCTGCTGAGAGCAGTGTGTGTGTGAGAGAAACCAAGGGTGTGGCCCCTGGCTCAAGGCTGGACACCAATCCCCCCCCCCCTTCATTCTTTCATAGCATTCCTCTTCTCATCGGTCACTTCCTCTTCTTATCTTACATTCTCTTTGGCCTAACAGAAAAACGCACACACACACACGCGGCTCTTTAAAAGGAATACATTTAGCAGTATGCGAGACTCACATACTTAGCTCTAAACATATAAATATTCTCTGTGCATGCAGGCACTGATCTAACAGTTTTTTCCTATGAGCAGCAGGAGAAAGTCTTACATAATCGCTCACTGAAACCTTTTTCCCCAAAATGAAGCCATGAAAAGGAACCCTGAGGCAGCTGAAAAGGGTTTTTGTTTTTTTTCTTCCATTTTTTTGTTTTCTCATCTCGCAGAGGTAGCATGCGTGCACTAAGTATTTCCCATCTGTGCATCTCTGAGACACAGGTAAACAAACAAAACATCCGCTACCAAACACACACATGGGTTCTCTGCACTCGGGAGCAGACGGCTCTCTCGATGTATTTGCACAACAGCCCTCTCTGTAACACGTGCGCACAATGCTGTCAGTGTTTTAGAGCTGAAGGGTTTCCTTCTCAGGGTTTCTCTGCCTGTTGACCCAATGTCCTCTCACGTAAATGATTGACAGGTCTCGCTGAAGCATCCGGTCCGCACATTGGTCTGCTCCAGCTGAGGGGTCAGCTCTTATTTTTGAGGTCTTATTGGAGAGTAAAGTGCTTGTGGGCGTGATTCTGACTTTGTGTGTGTGTAAACATTTGTGTGTGGGGTTTGTCCTCATCTTCCCAGCAGCAAAGAAAGGAGGCAGGCAGCTTTAATATGTGATGGCCATATTAGGCAACAGCTTCATGACTTTCAGCCACTACATCGCTCCGACTCTCACTTTCATGGTTTGCGTGTGTGTTTGTGTGTGTGTGTGTGGTTGTGTGTAGTATTTGAGCACTGCACAGATATTATTTTTACATGATGCTGCTGAACTCACAGCAAAGTTCATCACAGTTACTGTCACAGGGTTACTCAGGGCATTAATACTCTTATTCTCCTTTTTTTCTTTCTCTGGCTCTCCATCTTTGCTTCATCACTTCCTTTCTTTTATTGTTTTCCCTCCTCTGTCATTCTGTCCTTTTTCTTTCCCCCCTCCACCTCTTTTCCTCTCTTGACCTTTTCACCTCCTTTCTTTACTTCTCTCTCCGTGTCATCCTGCAGGAGAGCTGTTCATGGCAGACAGTCGGCTTAAGGAGGCTCAGTTCTGTATAGCCGAGGCCAGTTCGCTCTTCCCCAACTCTCACTCTGTGCTGCTGCAGCGGGGCCGCCTGGCCGAGCTCCGGGGCCACCTGGACGAAGCCAAAGGCCTGTATGACGAGGCCCTGGCCATGCATCCTACAGGAGAACGGATACTGGTGCACACGGTGAGAGATAGCGGATGCTTTAGAGGCTGCAAAATTAAGTTAGAACTTATGTAATGCTCTGCTCTTTCAAGTGTCACACATGCAAACATGGTGTTCAGTATCCTCTCTCACACACATGCACACAAACACATGATTGGCTACAGTGACATGTTTAAATGCTATAATTTAGTAAATTAAAAATTAAATCAAAACTGACGTAATATGCAAGCGGAACATGTGCAAACACTTATTTGATGTCTGCTAAAAACACACACACACACACACACACACACACACACACACACACATACACACACACACACACACATACACATATTAATGAAGTATTTGCAGTACTTCTAGTTGACTGAGCAAAGTTATATAAAAGTGTACTTCACGCGAGATCTTTTACATTTGGACTTGCTGTGGATTAGCTCACACGCTCTGACTCAGACAGTGTAGGGCTGTTTAATGAAGTTAAAAGTTTTCTCAAATTCACCAAGTTAAATTACGTCACAATTAAATTGCATCAGCTGCCTTCAGCCTTCATAAACACGCCTCCCAGAGAGTAGGAAAAGGCTTTCCTCGCAACAACAACAGCAATACGTGTAGATAAAAGTACATTTCAGGGGACTTTTGTCAGTCAGACTAAACCATGTCCCACTGTGGTCACATGTTCTTATAAGATAAGATAAGATAAGATAACCTTTATTAGTCCCACACGTGGGAAATTTGTTATATACACAGTAGCAACATGGCAGTGTGCGCACACATTTTTAATTTGATATTTAAACAATTTTTTGAGTTATTATATAGATTTTAATCCATCTGATCAAACAACTAAAGACAGCACTCAAGACACAGATGAATTTGAGCTCTTAGCACTTTTATATTCAGTTACTGTATTAAACTATAACCTATACACTGTATTAACAAAAGTAATCACTCACCCTTCCAAATCATTGAATTCTTGTTTTCCAGTCACATCCACTGGCTGACCTCATCAATGTGCTTCTGGGAGAACGGTCAAAAACTTCAATAAAGCCTTCCCAGATTAAGCTGTTATATCACATTTCGACATCATTTTAAACTCTATAGATTATGAATGTGACGTCACTCAAGCTCATATGTGTGTGAATGCAGACCAGTGAATACTTTTGCCAGTATAGTGTACATAAAATGAAGCGGCTGCGGATTTACTTTAAACCTGCAAACCAGCAGGCGGCGACTGCTCTGAATGCAAAAATGAAGACAGATTCTGTTGTGGTTTCTCACAGGGTGCGATTTGCACATTGCATGAGAGCTGTCTGCCGTGCTGGATGTGGTACAATCACTGGCTGATAGAGAAGAATGTGCATTTTCCCGACTGGTTGGCAGTGGTTCCTAGAGGTTGCTGGCTCTCACTGGGTGAAATCGGATTTAAAGAAGGTGCTCCACCAAAAAAACAAAACAAAAAACCCTACAGTGATTGCTTTGGTTGCTAACAGAATGCTACAGTTGGCGTTTGTCTGCAAAATCTTGCAAACTACTAGGCGAGTGGTAGTACAACTTAAAAAAGTGTGGCACAAATCAGAAATGGAGAAGGTTCACTTTCAAAGTAAAAGTTTTGCTCCACAGATACAGTCATGTTTAAGGAGTTTTACTTCTTAAACACGACTGGTGAACAGTCTCCATTTCCTGTTTGTTTTGCACTTTTCACAGTTTCCTTAGAGCTCGGAGAGTAGCTGTGTTTGTAGACAAGGACTTTGCTTCCATTCAAACTACAACCACTGCATTATGTTAGCAAGCAAAGCAATAACGAGGATGTTTTCACCAACCCATGCAGGAACACACATTTCTCCCTAGTGACAGATGGTTGCCAGGAGGAACACTTTCCATCTCTATGATTATGTGACTTCCTAGCGACTCCCATCAACCTGCAGCAACCACTTGCAATCATTCAAGGAATTTTCCCCTTGTGATGGGTGCTTGCCACATACTCGTGGACCTGTCTGTACATGTTCTCACTCCCAAAGTGTAACATTTTACGCTATGTGAAAAATAGTGAATATATTACGCTTCCAGGCACCCAACATGTCCCTATATTACGAGATCGGAAAAATGAGGAAACATGAGAACCGTTTGGAATGAATCTACACATGCTTGTTCATTTTACTTAAATCGCTTTGTAAAACACTATCTAATGTCATTAAAGTTCTGGTTAATGTTAGGGATAAGGTTAGGGTCAGGGCTGGAATACATGGCTGGAACGAGTAGAGTCATTCTCCTGGATTTCATCCATAACCAGGCGTGTAGCATAAAAACGCAGAAGGTTTTGCGTTCGCCTCTGGAGTGACAACGGGCTGGTCTGTAGGCCAGTATGACTGGCTTTTTCTTTTCATTTGAGCTTAAATAGTTGATTGTCACACGTCAGAAATGGTGGAAGAGTAACGTCACGTGGTTAAAGGTTATGCGTCTGCAAAACCTAAGAAGGAATCTGTGTGAAAGCAGCCCTCAGCTTCATCTATGACCTCAGAACACTTTTCTGACGAGTTTATGGTCTCATAGGCACAGCTTGAAGCTTCACAGCAGGACAGCAAACCAGTGGGTGATGTTGCCTTTATCATAAAGGCTATAATTGTAACAGATGCTTATTAGCTGCTAATATTAGCAATGGTAGCTTCTTTGCTCTTTTAGAAGCAAAACAAATCCCTCATGTTTCAAACGGCTGTAGATTATATTAGCCTCAGAAACTTAGTTGTACTGCAAGTTAATTTGGAATTTTCTTGTTTAAGCACATTTTTTAAAGTTTGCCATGTGCTTCTAATAGTACTTACACTGTTATAAGTATAGTACACTTATACTGCCTCATACTGTTCATACTGTAATCGTGTAGTCTTTCTCTCCTCTGTGGCGTGCTGTACTGTGTCATTGTCAGAACTCTGAGTGGTTCAGTCCTGTTTATCGCAGTGCGTTGCTGTCGTCCTCTGAGACGTGCCAATTTGTTGCAGGCAAACCTGAAATTTCAGAAAATAGAAGCAAACAAATTTCGCTCCATCACCAGCAAATGAAAAATAGCGCTTAAAGACTCACTCTCTCTTTCCTGATCACTCCCCCACATTTCTTTCATCCCAGCAGATCCTCTTTCTCTCTCACTGCCGCACTGTAAAGATCCTCTCTCGCCCACTTCCACCCACTCCCTCGCTTCTCTCTCGCTCTCTCAGTCTGTCTTCCAGATGATCCACAGGATTAACCACAGCTCTTCTGACCTTTGAACTGACTCTGTTGTCACAGTGAACGAACCAGAGAGGGATATTCCTCAAATCCAAACGCAGCACTCGACACTCACACACACACACTCACACACAATGACTGCGGTCTCCATAGTGACCGGAGATGTGCTGGCTGATATCACTTTAGCCTTCTTGTGACCACATAAGGCTAGTGCTTTTGCTCCTGCAGCGCACTTTTGGATGCATATGCGTGTGTCTGTGTGCGTAGAAGTGCAGTCCCACTGGGTTAGACAGAGGTACGCTTCTCTTCCATATTTGGCCTGTGGGAGAACCAATCCCAGGGGGTGAGAAGTTGAAACAAAGCCAGCTGGCAGCGTCCGTCTCTGGGTCTCTTACAGGACAGATGTGTTCTCAGTCTGAGTGTTTGAGTACGTGTACGCATGTGCATGTGTTTAGGCATGACTGTGTTTGTGTATGCCAGCCTTCCTCCACGGATTTGGAGCACATGTGGACTACTTGGGCTTGCTTTTTTTAAGTAAACTATATGTGTACACTTGGACAGAGGCACACATTGTAATAGACACAAATTGACCCAAATACAAAAATTCTGCTTGTAGAACACTAAAGTTTATGGACTATACTATGTTAGGCATGCTAATGGAGGCTTGCAGTAAATAACTGCATTCTTGCATTGTTATGGAGCCTGTGGGACAATGTGTGGGACATTTTATTTGGAGCTTCGCCCATATTTGTGACTTGCATCAGCCGGCCAGAAATGAGCCTACAGTTACTCTGTGGTGCTGTGCGGCTCTGCGTTCATCCATTTATTTTTACACAGTATCTGCTGTGGACATTTTGTGTGCCAGTGGCCCATTTTCTGCTGTGCCTTAAGGGGAATTCTTAAGATATTCTTGGTAGATATTCTTACACCTCAGTTATTATTCTGCAAAAGTACCTACTGTACTTTCCATGAATGTCCTAAGATGTTTTCATGGTAACTATACTTTAAAGATGTCACCTTTCTGTGGCTCAACAGTTAATGTGATCTGATATTTATTGTGGAAATGCAATTTCATTAGGAGCCTGTTTACAAGTGGTTTCCGTGGGCTTATCATGCGTGCTCAGTGTGTACTGCACTGTACATTGCTTTCACTAGAAGATCGGGGGCCTTTCTTAAAGTCATTTAAGCTGCATATAAACTGTAAAAGATACGTTGCTTCCAGATTTAGGAGTGAAGCCAGTGCATAACTACCTTAAACGTGTAATGTTTCTTACATCCAGTTGGGGGAGACTCATCGGATTGCAAGAAGCAGTGTATGTTTAGAAGTCAACAGAAAAACGGCTGCTGACTCGATCTATCCTCTCAGTAAATGCTTCCTTGCTAGTTTCACGTCTTATTTAAAACAACATGATGTTAATTTTGTAAGCTATAGTCTGTTTTTTAAGTTAAAAAGTGTGACAAAGCTCAGAAGCTAGTGTCACCATTCAGCAGTCTTCTTGAAATGCTGCAGGCGTTGTCTGAATAATTTTCATTTCAAAAGTCACTGACATTAAACTGTTAGCTTCGATACAGTTCAGTTTAGTTCAGTTTTATAGATATAAAGCCAAATCACAACAACAGTTGCCCCAAGAGCCTTTACATTTTAAGGTAAAGACCCTACAATAATACAGGGAAAATAATCAGACGACCCTCTGTGAGCGAGCACTTTGGAGACAAGGGGAAGGAAAAGCTTTTTTTAAAAAGGAAGAAACCTCCAGCAGAACCAGGAGCAGAGAAAGGTCTAAGTCTCCTAACAGCCTGTGAGGTTT